GCTGAGTCGATCGTGAATGAATTGCAATTTGTATGCTCTACAATTTTTGTAGAGATCGGACCATAAGCACCGAAGTCCCGAAGTTAATCAAGTTGGCATTTGCCATACATTGTGCTACGTATACGTGTATATATATTGTTGGTTTTGTCTATGCATGAAAAGGCAGCTCAGCTTTTTGGTTAAGTCCTAGTCAGACGTCCCTACTGCAGAACTTTTAGCTGATATTTTGATATTTTCAGATCCATCATTAGTTGGACGTCGTCAACATTTTGTTGACTGCTCGTTAGAATTTTATACCCTTGCTGATAGTATTATAACTTTGTCATGAAATGGGTAACGCTTAGAAGGAGACATCTCTGACCTCATAAAGCACCAACAGACGAGTCTTTCCATCCTTCCGTCTGTCTGTGTCTATGCAAAAAAGTATCTTAGTTCTAAGGCTATCGTCTTGAAACTTGGCATAGTTTCGCCTTCCTGTAGCAGGCAATATATATGTTTGAACTGGCCGAAACGGACCACTATATCATATATCTATAGGAATGATCGTTGAAAAGTAGGCTTGTATGGCAAATGTTCTGTTTAACGAGGGAAACGTCTATAAGGGTATTAAAATTTCGGCTTGCCAAAGTTATTCTTATTTTTTAGTTTTTTGTTTGCTTTGTTGACAGCGAAGATAAAATATACATGACCTTATCACTTGCATTGTTATCTAGCTCATGATTTGCGAGCATGTGTTTCAATTTGTTGCTGAAAATTGAATTTAGTTCAGAATTACAAATGCACATTAGGCAAATGTTTTTACTATTTTCTATTTATATTTCTTGTAGCCAGCATTTCTATAATGTAAAATATCCAATCAGAAAATTACATTAGTCATATACATATATATAATTACATTACAAAACGTCGCCAATAGGTGGAAAGAGAAAGAAACATCATGGTGGTATTGTTGTCACAAATGGGTCAAAGGGTTGCGGAATTTCAGTTTGATTGTTTAAGAAAATAATCGATTGATTATACGAGGCTTAAAAGAACTGATGGAAGTTTTTTATTTGCCTTAAAAAAAGCCAGCCTCAGGCAAAACACAACATATGAACAAATGTTGGCTTCATCAGTCGTAGCTTATTCACGTGTGATAAAAGGTATTACACAATACGCTTAATTGATTCATTTCATGATTCATGATTCATTCAGAAGTCTGTAGGCCTTTAAGAACATTTGTAGCTGAAACATGTAACTGAATTTTATAGCATAGTTTGTTGAACTTAACTTCATTTTCTCTTCATAGATAAATACAAATTTTAACAGATTCTCAAGTAACTTGTATTTTTGCATAATATAAAATTTAGATATTGTTTCATGGTTCATCAGGATTATATATCTCTTAAAACTTCTTTATCTAAGCAGCAGTAATTATGACTATATTGACGTGAACAAACCTACTAAAAAAGACGCATAAGACGTTGCACATAGGTACTATTATTAACTCTTATAAGATAAGAGATCTTGGCTCATACATTATCTGACAAGAGAATCCATAAATGTATTTAATGAGCTCTAGAACTGTAGCTTATGATAATTCTTTCATAATTACAAGCGAGTCTGAAGTGCAGGAAAGATAAACTTGTTGAGAGCACCAGAAATCATGGATTTGTTGTGTTTATCACGTGCCCCAAGTGGCCACTTGGAACCTAATAATGATCATGGACCAACTTAATTTCCCGCACGAATGAAAGAACAATTGCGTGTATATAATTTATCCAGTTGACGCCCGGCACAATAGAACTTTGGCACTTGGCTCCAATGAATTATAAAACTGGCGCAAAATGATTGAAGGCGCTTATCAGTGCAGCAGCTGCTGCATCTGAGGCGAGGCAGCCAAAGCGATGTAATCTAAGTACATACAATTTATATATATGCATATTACGTATTTATGTATATATATACATATAAATAAAAAACAACAACACGTGGGGAGTGCCGAGCGTGAAGTGTGTGCAGCGATCGCATTTAAGGAATCACCAGTAAATGAAAGAAGTGCGACGAGGCGGCAGACAATTCACCCCTGGAGTGTAGAATGAGCGAGAGTCAAGCGCCGCGCGACAGATAGCAACGGAAATGGCAACTGCACGAAGAGAGAGAGAGAGCGGGAGAGAGCAAGCAGAAACGCTGCCAAAGGGCAGCTGTCGCTGCAACGCTTTATAAATAACAACAAATATTGTGTTGAGCTAGCGACGAAATATGAATACTCTTTAAAACCAATATTTTATTGTAAACTTGTAATTATTACAGTATTAAACATGACAAACGTTTACTATTTGTTTTTATATATATAAAGGAATAAAAGAAACCTTAAGCTTGATACGTTAATGTGAAGTTTAATTAATATTTATATGATTGATAAGGTGCACGTTTTTGAGGGAACAGTAAAACGCAATATGATTAAATAAATCAAATAAAATGTTATATTTTAATTAAAGTTTCATTCAATATTTATTTATTTCCATACAGTACACATTATTTTAAGTAAGTTGAAATTCTTTTAGAACCGAACCAAGTTACTTAGGAATGAGTTATACCTACTGTAATAGAATAATTTATTCTATTCTTATAATATTTTGTATCTAGTCATTTGCATATTCCTTAATTTCAAAGGCCTTTAAACAGCTGTGTTACTTTAAAAGTTTGAACTTTATTTTAAATTAGGTACTACATTCCTGTACAAGTCCTTTAAAGGGTATATGTATATTCAGTTGAAACACACATAGCAAGAGCACAAATTTTAAATGTTGTATGGGATGCATCGTCGCATATCTTTTTGCTGTTTCTACTTGTGCTTGTTTTTTCATGTGCACCAATTGGATGTTATTATTTTTGGGGCTTATATACATGCACACACATATTAACATTGTAGTTTTTTATTAATACTCAGACTTAAGCTTGTCGTTTATATTTTATTGCATTCTCAAGACTTTATTTTGTGTGAGAGCGTGTTTTTATTCATTTTTTCGGCACTTGGATGCACTTTAGATGTTTTTTATGCATTCCTCATTGGATTTCGGTTTTGACATACTAAGCGTACTGCTGGCTGGGCCCAGTAAATTAACGCTGACCCAAAGATTTAACTTTTTTTGAGCTTATTTTTGTTAATATTTTTTTTAACGATTCTTTTATTTATTCTTGTTGCTGTTTTTAGCTTTATTACAGCATTTTGGCACTCCACTTGGCTACTTACAATTGATTTTTAGCACACTTATTCGCATTATGTTGCTGTTGTTGTTGTTGTTTTTGTTAATTTTTCCTTTTATTGTGTACTTTTGTCCGTTCTTTGTTGTTGTGACGCAGGACGCACCCAGGGACGGAGCTGCTCTTTTGTCTAGATTTGCGCACTCACGTTTTTGCGACAATTTAATTGGTTGCGATTTGTTTTAATTGTTGTGCTTAATAGAGGCGCGACTAAACTATGAATATAGTAACAACAATAATACTATTTAATTACAAAAATTAATTTTCCGACTATGCATACCGAACGCACGAGCGCACGAAGTGACAAGAAAACGGCAACTGCGGCAAACGCGCGAAATTTGTGACAACCGAGACCCACAAATCGAATAATAGGCGGAGAGTGAGAGAGAGAGAGAGTGAGAGTGAGAGAGGGTACGTGAGGGAGCAGGAATTTTAGTACTCACATGTGCGCTGACCCCACGAGAACAATGAGCGACGCTGAGCGGCGTCGGGAGAGCGACGCATGCGTTGCCCCAATTTTACATATGAAAAGAGGGCGGCTATTGGCAGAGACGCCTGAGAGAGAGAGAGAGAGGGAGAGTGGGAGAGATTACGTCAACTGCGCGAAAGCCGGCATGCGGCCGGCTGCTGAGCGTTTTTGATAATGCAGCCCAATTAACTTAATCTACCCATACAATATGAATGCATTTAATACGCATTTATCAAGAGGGCAAAGAGAGAGAGAGAGAGAGTGAGAGTGTGTGTGTGAGAGAGTATTGTATATTAAGTCTTACAGTTAGAGCTGTAGATTAACTACCCCCAGCACGACCAGGTGTGTATGACAGCTGTGACGAGTGAGAGTTTCCCGAGACCAAAAAGAGCGAGAGCAATAAGCTAGGCAAAACAGCTGTTCTACAGGACTGAGGGCTTGTTTTGGGGGTAAGTTTGCTTTAAATTTGTCTCTTTAGTCCACAAGATCCTTAAAATAAATTATTCTATTACAAAAAGAAAACCTAGTTGTTGTAGCACAAATCTTGAATGTCCCCTTACTAAATCAATTACGAGCTAGTTTTTAAGATGTGAAAAATTACGAAGGCTAAACTATCGTTAGTTAAACGCATTTGCTAACGTTTTAGTATCAACAGTCATGCTGAGGGATTGGGACGTCTTTTCATTAGAACGATTTTCGCACAGGTTGAAATCTTTCTCTAGCTCAACCAAAATGATCAATTTTGTTTTATTTTGATAATAATAATTCAATAACTGTAGATATGTAAAATCGATATTGATATTTTTAAGTTTTTACAATTCTCGTGAGAGCAATTCCGCAATTCTCATTCTGAATCAATTGAATGATTCTGTACATCTTAGGCAGGTTTTTGATGAAACTTTGTCATATAACGTTCTGAAATTAAAGTAAATATAATTGTCAATTTGCGGCAACAAGAAATGTGTTCGCTCTTATGTTTTGCCAACAAATTACCATTTTCTTAGATTACATTTGAACGCAAGTTCTTGCGATAAGAATTCTTCACTAATTATGAGATAGGAACAGCTAAATTCTTGTGGGTCTCAATGTCTAGCAAGGTTCCCAACCTGCGTGCCATAACCATCAGCTTTTGTATGTGCACGCCAAGCGATCGTTTTGGCTGCTATAAAACAGGAATTTGTTAAGATATTTCTAAAATGAATATTGTTTAGTCGCGAACTTTATTCGCTACGCACATAAAGACGTTAAATTTGACATATTTTATTTATCAATCAGTAAATTGTTAAAGGCACTTGCGTGTGTACGTGTGAGATACATACATTATATATGTATTTCTATTTGCTAATCTTATAAACATGTCTATATTACACTTTCAACAATAATAAACATGTATCGTACGTACACATCTACAGAGTGAATTAATTTATTTTTGATGACAATATATAGCTTTCGTATTATTTATTTTATCAAGTATACAGATAGGCTCCCTAATATACTTATGTGTACATCCGTGTGTGTCGTGGCATGTATTTACATTATTCTTGTTGAATGGTACTAAGTAAAATCAAGAGTCACGCTGCAAGCGAAATAGTTTGCGTGTGAATTGATATAAAATAACTAAAATAAACACAAATATTGTATGGGCCAAAACAAATTGTTATTTCGTTTTTTTTTTTGTTCGCTTCTTGCTTTGTTTAGTCAATGAATCAAAATGTTATACAAATTCTTAGATAGTAGGAAATATTTTTCAAAAAATAACTTTCAGCTTTCCGACGAGTATTTTTAATGCAATCAAATTGTAGAGGGTAAAAACCTAAAAATAAAATAGTTATATTTAATCTTGGTCAAGTTTAATCGTTGTTTGGGCTACAAAAAAATGATCTCAATCAAATTTAAATGATGTCTAGAACTATATTATGATTTTCTTATGTAAGAGTTACACTAGGTTACAAAACTATATTTAACTTAAGATTAATATAGCACTATCTATTTGTACAAATATTTAAATATATATTTATGTTATTTTTTCTTAAGCAATTTTACATAGTTCTTTTGTCGTTTTTCTAACCTAAATGCTTGAGTCTTAGACTTAGATGCTGGCCTACAAAATTATATAGTATCTCCTTTTATACATATTCAGTTGATTTGTTTTGGTTACACATGGATTCAGACTGTGGTACATTTCATGCATGTTAATGGGCATACGAAAATGTTTTACTTCTGGGCCTGCCATATGGTCAATCATGGCCGCGTATATCACTCGATTATCTCAATAGGAGAATATCACAAAATTCCTAGAGTACAAAACTGTGATCAAATCCTAGAGGAATGAGCAGCACAATATGAGCACCAGCACGGTTATGGGAAACAGTGCATAAATCTCGCTGCGCGGATGACATGTCGAGATCAGATTTGTAATATCATCCTCCTCGTGCTCAATGCCATCACGTGTGGGCACCTCGACAACGACAATTTCATCGGAGAGGAAACCAATGTTGAAACTGCAATCGGTGCTGTTCAGACAGCCGCGCGATTCACTTAAGTTCGAGTACTGAAATGTTGGCTTATATATATCGAATATGGCGTGTATATCGTTGCGGACCAGATCGTTGTCACTGTAGAATATATAGTAGTAGTAGCCATCCTCGGTGATATTATGCTTCACCGTGTCGTGCTTGCCTTTTTCCAGAAAGTGCGCATTCATGCACGCCGGCTTCGGTGGAAAGCCCTCGGCCAGCAATATGGCGCCATTGAAGCAGTCGAAGAGGCCAGTCTCAAAGCTCGATATGGAGTTCGATTCGTCGGTTTCCGTAAAGTTTACAGCATTGCCGCCGTGACTGTACTTCCGGTCGTAAACATTTTCACGCTTCTGCCTCTCCTTGCGCTTGTACAGCTGATCGAAAACTTCCTTTTTTCGCAGCTCCTGTTCCTGTTCCTCTTGCTGCTCCTGCACCTGATCTATGTGACGCCTCTGTCGATTGGCTGGCAATACTGGCGTATTGCTCTCGTTGAGTACGGCTCCTTCCACTAACTCCATGGACTTGGACGCCTGATGGGGCGTGCCCTTTTTGAGCTTTTTCCTTAGACGCTTGGCGGGCGACGGCGTTGTGCTGACATTGACTGTCGCCAGATCCTCGCTGAGATCTTCGCCGCCATGATTCTCATGCTCCTGCAGGCCATCGGCTGGCACTTTCTCTTCGGTTATTTCCACCACATCCTCGAAGAATACCTTGACCTGTTCGTGACCCTGTGCGTAGTTGGCGCCCTGCTTGTTCTTATTGTGATCCGTCAAGCCGCACAGCTTCAGCTCCCGTTTGCCCTTGATCACCAGTATGCGAGCGCCATTGTAGCGTGAGCAGAACTTGAGGGACACACGCGCTCCCTTGAGCAAAAAGAAGCCCCAATATTCTAGTGTATCGTCCGGCAAAGTCATCGATTTCTTAAGTCTTATGTGCTTGCGATTCGTAGATATTTCGGGCTTATTGCGCAGCTGAAAAGCATTGAAGTTGCTGCTCATGCGCAGCGTGTGCTTCGAACAGAATATCGATGAGATGCCATCCCTGATCTCAATGATATCCGATTCCGCAACCGGATAGATGACATCCGCAAATATCGTCTTGCGCATATAGAGCGGCATTATGATCAAAATCGCTGGCAGTATCACAATCATAATGCAAAACACCAGCACACGCTTGACGCCGTGCATTTTGCGGGTCTCTGAAACGAAACGGACAGATAAAAGATAAGTTTCAGATAAGCAGACAGCTTGTAGAACTGCGGAATTTGTATAAGTTTGCTTAAATATACAATATTTTTTATTATATGTAAGAGTTTGCAAAGTGGAAAGCTATTCAAATCTGTGCTGTGTGTGATCCATAGAAAAGATCTTTAAATACTTGAATAATACTTTTTGTTCACATAAGAGCTTAATATTTTCTTAACTCGTGTTTAATTAAAATGTGCTGTCTTTAGTTTCTTAAAATTGATAATTTCTCACGTTTTTTCCCACCTTCAAAATGATATTCCGTAATTTGCTGCATTTTGTTCTGGTTTTAGTTTTTTCAAACGAAATCCTTTAAGCAATTCCTTAAAATATATTTTTTTCCGGCACTGCGCGTTGCGTGCTTCGCCCAGGCAGGCTTTTTGAGAACTGATTTGATAGTGCGATCATCAAATTAGACTGTCGCCTCACAGGGCGGTTTTCCATTATTTTTATCGCACGACTTGGGGCGTAGAAAGAGCGTATAAGCTTTAAGAGGCTCGGAGGCGTGAGTGTTGCCTCCAAACAAATAGCTGAGTGTATTGGTCTATCAACAAGCCACAACAATGGCAAATTTTATTCAAATATGTGCCCAAGCTATTTGCGAGCTTCATTCGGAGCCACAGAAGCAGGCGCTAAGTGACAGACTCTATTTAATTAGTGTTTAGTGTTCTATGCTTTGGTCTGACGGTCCCCAATTTCTTGATCTTATTCTGTAAACTTTTGCTTGATTATTTGCCTATTCTTAATGGTTTTTGATGAATTTTAAAGTTTTGTTTCGGCTATGAAAAACTCTACAGTAAATAAATCTCAAAGATTCCAGATATTGTTGTTATTTAAACAATTTGAATTGTAATAAATTTATTATTTTTCTGCCGCAATATGAACACACCCGATATTGTTGTTATTTTAATTTTTTAAATTTTTTTTTGATAATATATATAATTTTGTACCCAGTAGAATAATTGTAAAGATGCAATTTGTAGTCTACCGTATTATTTTATATTTTTAATATTATTATTAAAATAATTTATTTTATTAGTTTTATTATAATTATTTTAACTCATAAATACGTGATATTTAAGCCATATTTATATATATGATATACTTGAATTCTTTAAAAATGTTTCTTTGAATTTTTTATGCGCCAAAATGTAGGTTTATTGTTAGACGCTTAAATGTAAATAAATTTTTGTTTATTTTTATGTATTTTCGACTTTAATAATTGTTTTACTGAGCCCAGATTTGGAGTCTTATTTTAGATAATTTCCTTTTGCATACTTTCGGGCTCGAGCAGTTAATTAACTGAACTGGGCTCTAGCAAATTATGAACCTAGTGTTAATTAACATCATTTGATAATTAAAAAATTATTAATAAATTGTTTATAGATTAAAAATGCATACACGACAAATGCGACAAAGCACTGATATTTCCCACACTTCCAAAAATGAGAATTATATAAAAATAATAAAATATAATAATTTTTATTCAATTCGCCGACTCCATATTAATATATTTTGGCAACATTAGCTCGAAACTATTCTCGTAGTTTGTTGGGCAATCAACGGCCTTTAGTTCATAATTACAGATCTCGCTCTCGAATGCCAAGTCTGGTAGGGTCTATTTTCCTATGTAGGTGCCATATGAAAATGCCAAGTTGTTTGTTATTGTGCTGCTTATCAATGTACTGGTGTTCGCTAGCTATAAACCCCAAGCGTTATCAGTTTCGTTTCCAATATATATAGTGCTTGAGGGAATCGGAAAAAGTGGAACGTTTAATTATACACATCACATATGTTTATGGGTCGCGTTGCCATCACGTTTTAGTCGAGTGTTTTATTGTTTGGCTCATGTTCTTGGCTAATCGGTTGCCATTTATTTGTGCAGCTATGAGCCAAGACCAAATAGCCTGTTTAAATGAAGAGAACTACTTTGCAGTTTAAAGTAAAATAAATAGATGTGCTTGACTCATATAGCTAAAGTGTAAGCCATTTTTTAGCTGGCTGCTGAAATCGATCAAAGCCTCTTGACAACGAAAATATTTATCTTTATGATTTAGAATTGATTAAAATTGTTTAGTTTCAGACAGTTGCTAATTTGGCCGCAGTTAATTGTTTATAAATCGACAACAATCAGACAGCTGAAGAGCTAAAAAGTTAACGCATAACCCCTAGACTGACTTTTTGCGTCCACCCCATTTGAAGTGCTTGATAGCATTGCCTCAGGGCTGAGCTATAATAAACCATATTGAATCAGAAACAGTTTGACTAAGAGAAAAGTGGGGAATTAAGAGTATCATATAAACTGTCGTATTACTGATAAGTTCTAGTTTTCTGTACAAATTCCGTGTCGCCCCAAAACATTGCGCAATACGGCAGCACTTGTGGAGTTCTTGCCTAGGTAGATCTTAGCTATATTCGCTGTATCTGGGACAGTGAAAACTTGATGGAGGGATTGCGAGAAAATATTGTATTGTGTATATCTTCGCGGTGTGTTTACTGTACTTGAACCTCTACGTCATGTCTATGGCCTCAGGTAATGTCATAGGTCGAGCATTTCCCTGGCAACTAAGCAAATTTGTCTTAGCTTTATTGACAGCTTTCGTTGTGGTCATGACAGCTTTTCAAATACCAAAATTCATGCATATTTTATTTTCCAGTCGGTTTACGGTTGAAACCTTTTTGACAAGTCATTGAAAATATTGAGTTTGGACAGGTTTTATGCTAAGCATGCGAACAACTTAAAAAGTCAAGACTGGTTTTGGAGAACGCTAAAGAGTTCACTTAAAAGGTTTATTTATGAATATAACCTAGGATTATGATAGAACGTTTTTTTTACTTAAATTAACAATATTATATTATAATATTAGCCTACAATGAAAAACTACAAGTTTTATTATTTAAAGGGAACAAAGTAAAGTTCATAAAAATGTACAGGGCTACATTTTCGAAACACATTTAATAGATTCTATACCCATTGAAAATAGGTAAAAGGGTATGATGATTTATTGTAAATGTAACAGGCAAACAAATGCATTTCCAAAATAAATTGGGTTTTTAATAAATATCATGGTTGTTTTTTAATCATAACTGCAGAGTTTTAAGAAGTTTAAACACCAAACCTGGTATGTAGATTATCGTAGTATATGTGGATTAAATACATTGTACATTCCCCCATTCCACTTATTTTTAAAGTCAGAGCTTTGCGCTTTGGTATATGCACACTGTTGTGTGACACATTTAGTTTCGAACATTTTCATGATGATCGGAAAATAAACATGGAAGTTACTTAAGATTGCGTTTTCCCAGCATAGTATATGGGGAAAGGGAAGAAGAAACACGTCTGCTCCAAGAATAAATCTAGAGAATGTGTAACAAAAGCTTGTCGCTGGCTGCAGGGCATATGCTAGTCGGTCATTCCCGAACATCTACATAACAAATGTCGGTATATGGATTAATGCTCAAGTTGGCAGGAATTGCGCCGCCCTTAGGCTCTCTTATAATCCTAGATACTCGTAAACTTGAACTACCTTGACTAATTCTTGAATATTTTGCTTTGCTAGAGCTAATTCAGGGTCGTCGGCGTGTGCCTCCAATCAAATTTAAATATGTACTTAAGTACGAGTACGCATGTACGCGCATGTATGTGTGTATGCGTATGTATTTGTGTACATGCACAGGTATAGGTGCGCTTTGTAGTTTTTTTTTTATTCTTGTACATGTCTAATTCTCATGTTTCTGTTGTTCTTGTCGTACTCAGTTCTTTTTGTTGTAAACTTACATGTTGTTTATTTAGCTTTTGCTTTTTAGCTTATTTACGTTTTGGCTTAGCGACAGCGCCAACGTCGACGTCAGCAGCGCCGTCAGCTGCGTGATGAGTGCAAAATTCTTTGTATATAATTTGCATGCAGTTTGTTTTGTTTACTGTTCGCTTGCTTTTGTCATATTGTCCTCTTCCCTACCTTGTATAGATCAATAGGATTAGGAAACAAAAAAAAAAAAAAACAAAATCTACGTTATCTACACGTGCAGCGTGTTCGTCATTATCATTTGCTTATCATCGCGCATTATTATTTTTATTATTATTATTATTTGGCGTCTCTTGGCGTTGCTTCATCTTCGCATGTTTATGATATTTTGACACACATTTTTTATCAACACAATTTGTGTCTCTCTCAAATTTTTTTGTGGCTCTCTCTGAAGCACTCTCTTTGGCGCGCTGCTCTCACTGCGTTAACAATTTCTGTTTGAGACTATTTATGTTTTTAAAATTTTTATTTTGTATGTTTCTTTGTCGTTTGATGTAGATTTTATTGATGATATAGTGTTTTTTTTTTAATATTTTTATTTTGTTGTTCGTTTACAATTCCTTAATTTTAATTAAAAAACCTTTATGGGAATTACGAAATATTTGCCAAGTGACGCGCCGCACGCTCGTTCCCAACTGACAACTGACGACAGACTGACTGACAGCCAAAAAAAAAAACCGCTACTCATTGCTGTTGCAATGGAAATTATTTTCGTCATCGCACAATATGAAAAACAACGAGATTAACCAAGCGCCATTGTAGGCGCGCGCACTCTCTACCTCTCTCTTGGCTCTCTTCTCGCTCACTTTTTCTCTCTTTTTGTATTGTTCATGGGCTGGTTGGCAAGGAAAATCAAAACAGTTCTCAGAGAAAACGCCATTGTTTTGATGTGAAGTTGGCTGCGATGCTGCCATTGGTTCGAAACTTGACTTATTTATACCCTGTACAATATCTAATTGGGAAAAGGTATAACACAATATACATGCCTATATTCTATAGTTAAATTGTTGCCCATCAAGTCAAATTTAAGCTAAATTTTTTACCAATAAAATAATCTATATTTGTAATATTTGCTATTTGCTATATGCGTAATATTTGCTAGCTATATTACCTCGAATAATAAACACAGCTGGTCTTTAAAAGAGCTTTATCTTCTTTAAAGACCAGAAGAATGAAGATAGAGTGTATCTTGGCATGCATAAACTTTGTGTATATGCATATCAGTATGAATGTGCAACTTTATTATTTTAAAGAGGTTGAGTACGTGATATTATATTTATTGTCGTAGTTTATTTAATCTTGAACAGCCCGACTTGATTTGTAATGCAATTTTGCACAGTTTGACGTTATAAATAAACAAAACATAAAATATTACAAAAGTAAGAACAGTTAAATAAGTCAGTAAAAACATATGTTAAACGGATTTTATTATAATCTAGCCGCAAGTAAAATGCCAGAGTTTAAAAATTTCCCCATAAATAGTCTTGTGTTTTTAAACATTATTTCACTAAAAAATTCAGTAAAATAAAAATGAGTAAAATTCAAATAATTTAATTGGATAAGTTGCTAAATAAAATTCAAGTCGATCTATTGGAATTTTTTTTCGTTTCACAGAATTGATCACTTTTTCATATCAAATCTCTAAATGAAATTATTATACTATTTTTGGACACTTGTGAGCACTTACTATGCAAATCGGGCATCGAGTAATAAAAATCCGTGTGATAATAATGCAATTGACCGGCACTTATATTCGTGCCACGTTTCATTAGGGATTTGTTAGCCATTTTGTGGTAGGATTTTAGATATCCTTAGGCAAGACTTTGAATAAACCAGCGGATTGATAATTATCGACGGTCCGACTCTCGTGAATAATCGAGGCAAACTGACGCTGGCATCTCTGGATGCGTAGAATGACTTTCAACTACTCTATCTGATTGCCCACTGTTGACGAGGCGCCCCCGGTCAAATAGACTGCGGGGCACTCTGGGAACTGGAAACTGGAAGCAAACTGGGCTGTCTGTCTGCCGGCCGTCTGGTGCGCTTTATCCGACTGAACAGAGAGCTGATAAACGGCCTAACAGCCTAGTAATTGTCATTTATTATTAGAGTAAAAACAATCACATTACATATACAGAGTGCAAAAACAAACAATACACAAATAAAATTATTGATAAGAGGTTAAAGCTGATTAACAGTCGGTGGCATGCGGCTTACATGTGTCTACCAAGCCACGCCACCCCACGATTGTAGGGTGTCTAGTTGAGGCCATTGCGTTAATTGGAAATTCAATATCGTTAAAAATATATAGTGAGTAGTGACAAAAATAGGGACAGCTAATATTGGCAATACCTGCAAAGTGTATCGAAAGCTTTATTATTAATTCTAGCTTGGGATATTTAAGTCGTTTGTCTTACAATCAGATTAGGATTTGCTTAAGACCAATTTAAGGTCCTTTTTTTTGCTAAATAATCTTTAAGATGCGGTTCTCCTTTGATATAAAATCTGATATAGAGACAATAAACCTTGCATGGAGATATATATATATATATATATATATATATATATATATATATATATAAATATACCTTAACCTATTATTTTGGCTCTTTCTACGAGTCAATATTCCTGATAATATAATTATCCAGCTAATTTTGTAGGGGTTTTGTTTTAAAGAATCTTTTAAATATTAAACAATCAATCTTAAGTAAATTTACAAATATTTTCCATCACAACAGACGGTTAATAGATAAGATTTCTTTGCAGTAGGGGAAGCGCCAGCTTATGTTATCTTTATTTTAGTCTTATCGTATTAATCATATCAATCCAAGATTCATATAGCCATATCTTTTTGTATTACCTACAGTCTGTGAATCTTAACTGCATAATATACGCTTTTATTACATTTTTACTATGTTTTTTTTACTACTCTGCAGCGGGTCAAGCCAGCTGAAATATGAAGAAATGTGCCATTTATTTTTGTTATATATTAATTTTTAATTTTTATAATTGGTTTATTTTATAAAACCATACAGAATTTTGTTCTTATGTAGTTGAGATTGCATTATGTTGATTAAAATAAAATATTTATTTAATTCATATACTTAAAAAATATATGCATTTCACAGCCATATTCCCTCACAAGGCTTGGGCCAATAATAATAAGAAATCTCACCGAAATAATCGGTGTTTTTAAGCCCAAAAGTATGCAAAATTTCCCGCTAATGCTAACCCAATTCTTATCAATTATGATAATGCACTTCAGAGGGAACGTTCTATATAAAAGGTGGCGAATTGGATGTTATATCTTAAATATATTTGATACCTCTATGGGATCGAAGATTCCTGCTGTAAAATTAAAAGGCAACAGCATGGCAAATTTGATTAGTAGTATACGTTCGCCAGCATAAATCTCTTGTAAAGTGGAAAAAGGGTAGAAGGAAGCAACTCCATAGTCCATCACTTCCGACTAATGTACTCTTACTTGATTTTTAATTTTCTTTCAAACTGAATCAGTTATTGTAAATTTTGAAATGTGCGAATGCTCTTACATCGTTCGATACTCTTATCTATGTTACAGAAATTGCTCATGTACCGAAGCTCGAGTTCAGTACCCTCAATGTGTGTTTTGTCTATGGCTTTATAGAGTTATTATAATTTTCTCATGGAATGTACTATACATGGAAGGAGGCATCTTTGACACCATCAATTTATAAATAGATATAGATAAATATATATTTATATATCGGTGACACGACCGGATCAAACCGCTATATTATAAAAAAAAATTAAACTTTTCTGTGAACTTTTATTCGAAATAATATATTGCGTACATATTTATAAGTACGTACCTATTTATAACGAAAAATGTTATGTTCTTCGAGATATCTTGGCCAAAATCAGAACTCAGCGAGCTTCAGAAATCCCCTCACACATATGCAAACTCATAAGCCAACATTTTGCAAGGGTATTTCATAGTTTATATGCCGCAGATAGCGTTTAGTTATGTTCTTCCTAAAAGTATAAAGTTGTAGTACACGATCGACTTCTGCGTAAGTTGCCATGTGCTGCATGTTCTTTCTATCTGAACATAACTGCCAAAAACAAGTCCGTATATACCTGTAAAATATTCGTCGCGTTGCCACAAAATGTGCTTATCTTTCATTTCTGCGAAAACCGGATACTCTACCATTTGGTTTTTTTATTTGAATTTGAATCAATTTGAAATCGTTTAAAAAACAATTTTTATTTGCTTTTCATTTGGGTAACACTTTTTTTTCGCACGCTCGTGACATTATAATAAAACATAAGGTATTTTTACAAGAACAGATTGCAACTTAAGTAAACAAGTTGTTGTATTTAAATTGGGGAATGTGTGACTTTCGAATCATGTAAAGAACACGTATATTACAAAGCGCCAAGCACGAACTGTTAAATTGAACAGTTAGCTCCATTGTTAAAAAAGGTTTTACTTTTACACAATTGGTAAAAATTGTAATTATGTTTGGTGAATATTTCGAAAAATGTTCTTATTGCCAATTTAAATTGTTGAAATCAGTTTTTCAAATGGTTCTGTAACGGGTATATAAATGTATGTCATACTAGCTTGAAGTCAAAGAGTTAATGGATGAGATTGCCAACCAAATTGGATAATATGTTACTTCTGATCAAAACATTAGAGCCTGTATCTCTCAAATGAAATAAATAAGAATTTTATATTTATAGATATTCTGATACTATTCGATATTGAAATTATACTTAACATAAATAACAATTAGAAGACATTTAACAGAGTTTGTTTTGTTTCGGAATTTAGTTGAGTTCTGTTATTGCCAACAAATTAATGAAATTTATACATTTTTGTTAAATTTTATTATTAATCTACTCTTAAGTTATCGCACTTAAAAAATGACACATGCGAGGGCCTAACATTTGTTGAGGTGGTACCATTATAAGCTCAATTTGAGTAATTGGCCTTGTTGAATTGTTAAGAAACCGTTGCTCAGGTGCAGACTCTTATGTAGTATGTTCAAGCATGTAGCACGCGTTAAAGGGAACCAATGGTTGTATGCTGATAAAGTCAACCAATATGTCAGAATGTTAAAGACGACGACGGCTACTCCTCAAAATTGGCGTTTAGTTGAGTTTGGTTCGCGTCTATTAGCACACCATGGGTGCTCGTCTTGCCACCGGTCACTTGCTCTTCAAATGGTTCTTCTTTTGTCTAATCCTGATCATTATTTTCATGCTATATGCACCGTATAAAAATATTGAAATCGAACCAACAATGCGTAGTAAAACTGAAGTGGTTAGTGCGATTCCAACACCTAATTTGGCTAATAGTTCGCCCAAGATTGAGGTGCCAAAGCATTTTGTGCATACCTCACAGTGCATGATACCCTATATAAATCCGTTTTCGGCCGAGGCCTTAAAAATCTACACGCCGCGCAAGTTTATACCTTGTTCTAACGAAAGTGAACTAGTTTCGGCTCTCTACGATGTCAATCGACAGCGTTATGTTTTGCATATCAATGAACCCGTGGCTAAGAAGCTGCTCAACTCGAGTGAACGGGAGTTCAATTGCTTCTATCGTGAGATACAGCATGGCGAAAAGGCGGAAACTTATGATATGTAAATTTATGCAGAGCTTACCCCAGAGCTTCCTTTCAAAGTATTCCCTTTGTGTTCGCACAGGCTTAAGCCAAGCAAGTATTTCTCTCAGGACTATGTAGTGCCACTTCACGTTGAGGGCCTGATGCTGCAGTGCGAGACTGCCGAGATACCGTCTGTCAAGCTGCAAAAGGATGCCTACATTTTCATACAATATCGGCCGAATATGAATACTACTAAACCATCTATTAAGACACATCCACGCAAACCAAGTGTTATAATGTATGGCATCGATACATTATCCCGAATTAATTTACGTCGCACTATGCCCTTGGTATATAAGCATCTACAGGGACCCGGCTGGTACGAAATGCAGGGCTACAATAAGGTAGTATAGTCGAATGTTTCTAGTCTCAAACTGCTGAACTGCTCAATTTACAGGTGGGCGACAATTCATTTCCCAATATATTTGCCATACTGAGTGGCTATTCGCCGGAGAAGGCCAAAGAGCATGTTTGCGATACGGACAAAAGTGGCTGCCTCGATGAGATTCCCATGATCTGGAAGTACTTTAGCAATGCCAGCTACTTGACTGCTTATGCGGAGGATGAGAGCCCATCGAATACGTTTAGTTACCTAAAGCCGGGCTTTACCAAAAAACCCACCGATTACTATTTTCGTCCATTTCTGCGCGCTCTCGAGTGCGAGGCGGACAACTATAATTGTCCTGGTTGCCGCATGACCTATTGCTATGGCCGCCGGCTGGCCAATAGTTATATCTATGATTACGGCAGACAGTTCATGCAGCGTTATGTGGAGGAGAGACCCATTTGGGGCATGTTCTGGACGAATCATTTCAGTCACGATGATTACTTTATGCCATCGGCCATGCAGCATAAGGTTCTGGGTGATTTGATAAACTTCGAAAAGGATGGATCCATGGAGCACACAATTATGATATTCTTTGCCGATCATGGTGTACGCTATGGCAGTTTATTAAGTTTAGCCGAGGGTTATTTGGAGGAACGCCTGCCCATGATGTTTATCTATTTGCCTCCCTGGTTCCGACAACAGTATCCGCAGTTTACTGAAGCCCTGGCCTTGAACCAACATCGCCTGAGCTCCAATTTTGATCTGCACAACACTCTGAAGCATATCATCGAGATTGGCGGCACTCCGGATGGTCCGGCTCTACCGAGATCCTACGATTGCCCCACCTGTCAATCTCTGTTCTATCCAATCGCTGAAAATCGCACCTGTTCTGAGGCGGGCATCGCGGAGCATTGGTGCACCTGCCATCCGTATCGAAATATCGATCAACTCCATTGGACTAATCGAATTGCGCCACGTGTTATAGATCGCATGAACGAGTACTTTGTGCACAAGAATCTCAGCCATTTATGCAGCAATCTCACATTAAATTATATACATCGAACGGAAATTAAAATGAGCGTAGACGTCAGTTGGGAGGATGATTTACCCGAACTCGAAATCGCCGTTTATCGCACCAAGTTTAAGGTGATACAGAACAGCGCCGATTTTGAGGCCACAGTTGTTTTTAACAATAAAACAGAAGCTGTAGACGTGAATGTGGAGAATATCAGTCGTACGAATTCCTATAAAGATGATTCTACTTGTATTAGTGATAAAATTGCCAAATTATATTGTATATGCTTTAGTGATATCAAGGCCTAGCCAGCTTTTATTATAATTATATTGATCATGTAGACAACTAGTCGGAACAGTTTTCTGCTTCAAAATTTAAACGGAACGTTCCCACCAAATTAAAATTTAAAACACATCTCAAATGAATTTAAATAAAGATCATTAAAAAATAAAATCTAAAAGTAGTAAACTACCGTTTTCCATAGTTGCGGGTGGAATCTGCCAAACGCCTGGTCTAAGCTCCTTGGACATGTCTAACTTAAATTGTTACCACCATTTGCATAAATTAATTACACAGATACCTTATTGACTATAAACACTTTATAAGCATTTATATATTTTTTTAGTTTCACTTTGGCGGCAGGTCCCCGTAAACTGAATTTCACTGATATGTCACAGAGTTTCAATGTTTATCAATATCAAAAATCTCGATACAAATAAACAAATTTTGTTCTATTGTTGCTAGCTACTAATTTTTATCAACAAACATGACTCTTTTTGATAGAAATCTTCGAACAAGATGGAATAAGATAGTACGCCCATAATGACGGAAATGTAACATTTCCGAGAATCTCTGACATAATGCATGCGAAAAAAAAAAATAAATAAAAGAAAATTGCTTAAAGCGAATGAGAACAACGTGTCGCCAATAGAGACAATTTTCTAACAGTTAATTTGCCGAATCTTATTGAGATTTGCCTACTTTTATAGGGCAGTCTAATCTGACTTATCAACCAAGTTTGTTATATTTAATTGATTAAATAACCAAGGAAGTCCACTCCAAAAAGGTTTCTTCTCACATAAACGATGATAAGTTAATTAAATGCGACGCATCAAATTATATTACCCAAAGCTAGCAAAGCAAACTGTATAGCAAATATATTTCTAGGTTTAATTCTCAGTGCTATGAGAATTATCTTACTCGTTTCAAAAGGCAATTTTTCCAGAATCCGGGTAGGTTTTATTGTTTTGTTTTAAATTTTGCCATCTTAATTTTGCCTCGGGATGGTTTAAGCTAGCAATGATTCTGATGCTGCTAACCTTTTTGCTAGTTATTTCCCATTAACTTAATCCTCTGTCTAATAACCCTTATACAATTTCCTGCTCCAGTTCTATATTTGCACCCATTATTTACCATTCCTCCCTCATTTCTGCTATAAATCTTTTTACTTTGCCGGGCCTAACAATATTTCTAGTTATCTATTCATGAAAGGTAGTGCTTCCCTTTTTCGTCCATTGCTATAGCTTTTTAATATATCCCTAGAATTTTCTGTTTTTCCATATCTTTGGAAAGAATCTCCACAAGGTGGAAAATCTGATTTAAAAAAACACAGGGGCATTGAAAACTATCCGCTATCCCTGTTATTCGAAGAAACTGACTTTGCAGCATTTCTGCATATAAGTTGTCTCCTCTGTTCACCATGAATTCACAAAGAATCGGTCAACTACGACCAATCTGCTTGATTTTAATTCTCTAATAAATAATGCTTTCCTTTCTTAAATGCAAATAACAAATGACGTCATTTACACTAACTTCATTAAGGTGTTCGACTCTGTGCACCATGAACTTTTACTCCTTAAATTCGAGCGCTTATGATATAGTGGCCCGATCCAGCCGGTTCAGACATATGTATTGCCTGCAACACAAAGTCAGACCAATGCAAAGTTTCAAGACGATAGCCTTAAAACTGAGAGATTAGTTCGCATAGAAACAGATAGACGGACAGACGGACATGGCTGAATCGACTTGGCTGTTGATACTGATCAAGAGATGGGGCGAGATGTCTCCTTCTATGCGTTACACATTTTGAGACAAAATTATAATACCATCTGCATGGGTAATAATGATAATTGACTTTATTGATGAACATTATTTAGAAGGTCGGCAAACGCAATATTTTGCGGCTAAGGGTTCTTGTACACAACTGCCATGGGGTTCTAAGCGGCTTATGTGTGCCTCTGGCATTTCCACGACATTAGCTTGCACGTTACTTAATACTATTCCACGAAATTTGCCTCTTGGTCGAGTAGTGAACTGAATCCGATACCTTTCCATTTCATCGGGTGGCGGCACTTGAAGTCCATTAAAATCAAAGTTTATCTTGCTTTCGGCTCTCAGCACACTTTTTAACTCCAAATGATAGCACTGCATGGTGTAATTAGTACTAAATATAAATTGATTTATGCGGTAAACAATTGTCTTTGCCAATATCTCAATTGATTCGGTAATTGGCTCTTGGGTATACGGCTCACAGCTACACCAGTGATCCTGTACCCAGGCATCCTTACAAGAGCGTTTATCTGGAATGACTTCAAGTAACGACTTACAGTCCTGGCAGGTTTTCTCAAAGCGCAATGACGGGCGTACCTGCAGAAGCAGCGCTTTAATGGTTAAGTGCAAGTCTACGGTGGAGCTCAACCGACGACGATTCACGTCAAGTGCATGCCCGACTGTTGGATACTGCTTTCGATACCAGGGTGGTAAATAAATGTGCAGCATAGGCAATCGCTCTTCCAAAAAGCTAGATGACAGATCCATCAGCGGTCCCTTGTGTTGTCCATGCAGGCTGAACAGAATGACAACTGCTCTCTCGAATAAGCCATGCTCCTTGAACTGCTCAAGGTAGCTCACAAAATCCTTATCCACATTTGCCGCTCCACTAAAATCGTCATAACTAAAACTTTTCGTCCAGAAGATTCCAAAGAAGGGCTTTGGCGTCTCGTGTACAAAACGCTGAACCAGCTGAAGACAATAGTCAAAAACGTACCGGAAATTCGGTTTGCGGCCCAAACAGTAGTCGTATTGAAAGCGTTTGACCTTTGCCATGATCTTCTCGAAGGCTTTCATTATAGGATTAAGATAATAATCCACCGGCTGTCGTGTAAGAACAAAGGTGGGAGTGTCCTCGGCATAGGCTGTCTGATAGCCAGCATTATGATAATGATTCCAGAGGTAAGTGAGTGCGTCTAGACAGCCCGGCTTCTTTATATCGCAATAATTTTTCCACTCTTGCGGCAAGCTGCCCGTCAATAGAGTTATCATATTGGTGAAGGGACCATCACTTATAGTGTTATGGCCAAGCATCTCATACCAGCCCGGTTGACGCACAAAGTGTGCTGTGAGCGGCATTGTCCTCTGGAAGTTCATCTGCGACATGGAATCAATGCCCAGCATTATAACACTAGGATAGGTCAGACTGCGCTCTTCGTCGCTCTTGTCGTTGCAATTGACTGGATACTGGACAAAGGAAAATGCGTCGCGTTGTAGGACTCGTGATCTGTTGCGCAACTCAAAACATTCCACTACAATACCTTGAACGCGACGAGGCACCGTCCAATCATGGCAGGAAAATGGGGATATTATGTTCCTAAAATCGAAATGTTCAGCATGTCGTAAAATGAAAAAGATTTCGTTTATGCCCCAACAAGGGGATAATTCAATACACACCATGTAAGGGAATCATCTTGAGCTCGATGTAGCTCGTGACAAGCACAGCCATAGTCGGAAATATTTGGAACGAGCTCAACTAATAGAGACTCATTGTATTGTAAGATATATTGTTTCTCCTTTAGATCATATTGGACGGTGAATAAATCGGGCTGATCTGCACATTCCTTAAATTTGGGGGGCTCAAAAATACTCATAACGTCTTCGGAAAATGGATTAGGTCGTGGTATTTTGCATTTGTGATCAAAAACATTGAAATCCATGTCTGAGGATGCTTTAAAAGCTGCTTTGCGTGCCGTAAACTGTCCATTGAGTGTCCTTAACGATTTCGGCTTGGTCAGTGCTTTTTTATTAACGTTGCTTGAATGTTCCACTATATCATTTGTATGCCGGTTGACAAATATAAAGATGCATAGCAGTAAAAAGATGGCAAGTAGAACCTTTCCCTTATTGCTACCCAGGCAACGATACATTGTCGTTGTTAGAAGTGTTAAAGTTTGTTGATTTATAGTTTTGATAAAGAGCCTACTGAGTTATTATCAAGCTGGTAAATTAATTTACTTAAGTCAACTACAGAAAAACTTTCAAGCCGAGTTGCGTCGAACATGGCGATTCTGAAATAAAACCTTTCGCTGGACTAAGGAAAACAAGTAAATAAATTCATAACACAATTTAAACAGCTCAAGCCAAAAGGCGTTGCACCTCACTTTAAATTAAATTACCTTGTTTTATTCCAACACTGACAATGTAATGGAATAAATACTTATAGCTTACGAATGTTTTAATTTATTTGGTCAGATTACCAAGTTTTTTTCTCGCCAGTTTCTCATGATTAGACTTAAGTGGTAAGAATAACAAAGGCAGAACTTTCTCTCCATGCGACATACAGGTAGCTTCAGTTGGAAATGCATTAATGAGTCATATCTGGCACTTGCAAATATTCAAAGCGCAGTGTTAACCGGAATTTTTACCAATTTTGGGAATTTTACGAATACGCAACCGTAGTTTATTAATAAGATGATGAATGGTTTTTTTCCTCAAGAAAGTCATCTTGAACTAGGGAAAACTCTTAAATCGTTTTGTGCATCGTGACATTGAACAAAAATTCCATTGATATTTTCCACCAACGTGGACTCCCAAAAGAGGATAGGACGAAATATCCTGAAAGTTTCGGATACGTTAAGAACTCGGAATAGAAGTTATGCGATAATTAGCTTGCACGCTACTTATAACCACACGATAGTTACACGGTAAACGATCGCCGAAAGGATTCAGTTCGAGCAACACCTGTCCATTTACATACAGACTGTAGGGCGTTGTGTTCAAGTCGCATCTCAGCTAAAAAAGATCCGACTCATTCGTGCAAACCTTCAGCATGATTGGTTTATAGATATCCATTACATGACGCGAGGTATCAACAACGGTATCTTGTATTGCTTACTATATACTAAATAACGAAGGGGTTTACCTTAAACATTTTTTATGGCTCTATTGGAAATCCCTTCTGTAGAGTTTTAGTCGCAAAGTTCCTGAGTTTAAATGCATACAACTCCATGAATAGATATGTTCAGAAATACCCCAAAGAGACTAAGAAGAATCAATCGAACGGAAGTGTACTTTCCATAACCATATCCAAATTATATGCCTAATTATTAAATAAAACAACATTTGCTTACAATTTAATAGAAGGCTTTCAATTAAATCTCACACAAAACAAATCCATAAGCTACAACAATGTTTCGCCTAGTGAATAATAATGGTAAACTTATAATTGCCATCGTTGTTCTTTTATTTATTTTCATATTTGTAAATCGTGATGCAAACGTTGTTGTAGTTGAGGAAAGTACACAACCCTCTCTAAATCGCTCAAGTTTAGTTAGTGTGCAGTCATCGATTAGCGCTAAGCCCGATAAAATTTCTTCGTCAAAGAACTATTTCTGGGTCTTAGACCATAAGTGTAAAATTCCACGACTTGATCCATTTTCCGAGGATGTCATGAATATTTTTAAGCCTCCCAAATTTGAGAAATGTACAGATCAACCCGATTTATTTACCGTACGATATCACCTGAAGGAGAAGCAATATATAGTAAAATTCAATGAGTCTCTGTTCGTTCAGCTGTTTCCAAATATTTCCGACTATGGCTGTGTTTTTCATGAGATAATTCGAGGACCAGATGATTCCCTTACCTGGTGCGTATTAAATTGTTCCAGTTGAAGATTGTTACAGCATCAGCTAGAAGTTTTTTCAATTTCAAAGCTTATGGTGACTATTTCACTTCTAGGAACAAAAGATCAATTTTTTCTGAACGGGATTGGATCGTACCTCGCCACGTTCAGGGTATTGTAGTAGAATGTTTTGATTTGCGCAACAGATCACGAGTCCTACAACGCGACGCATTTTCCTTTGTCCAGTATCCAGTCAATTGCAACGACAAGAACGATGAAGAACGAAGTCGGACCTTACCTAGCGTAATAATGCTGGGTATTGATTCCATGTCGCAGATGAACTTCCAGAGGACAATGCCGCGCACAGCTCAATTTGTGCGTCAGCCGGGCTGGTTTGAGATGCTTGGCTATAACAAGATTGGCGATAGTATATTCCACAATTTCATAATTTTATTAACGGGCCGATCACCGCAACAGTGGCTGTCATTTTGCAATATAAGGAAGCCGGGCTGTCTAGACGCAATCGCTTTCCTTTGGAATCATTTTCACAATTCCGGTTACTTGACAGCCTATGCCGAGGACATTGCCACCTTTAATTTCACTCGACGGCCGGTAGATTATTATCTAAATCCTATAATGAAAGCATTTGAAAAGATCATGACAAAGGTCAAACGCCTTCAATACGACTACTGTTTGGGCCGCAAACCGAGTTTCCGGTACGTTTTTGACTATTGTCTTCAGCTGGTTCAGCGTTTTGTACACGAGACGCCAAAGCCCTTCTTTGGAATCTTCTGGACGAAAAGTTTTAGTTATGACGATTTTAGTGGAGCGGCAAATGTGGATAAGGATTTTGTGAGCTACCTTGAGCAATTCAAGGAGCATGGCTTATTCGAGAGAGCAGTTGTCATTCTGTTCAGCCTGCATGGACAACACAAGGGACCGCTGATGGATCTGTCATCTAGCTTTTTGGAAGAGCGATTGCCTATGCTGCACATTTATTTACCTCCCTGGTATCGAAAGCAGTATCCAACAGTCGTGCATGCACTTGACGTGAATCGTCGTCGGTTGAGCTCCACCGTAGACTTGCATTTGACCATTAAGAAACTGCTTCTGCAGGTGCATCCTGGCATTTCATATCAGCTACCATGCGCATCATGTAAGACATTATTTGAGATTCTGCCCGTCAATCGAAGTTGCTACGATGCCGCAATTCCAAGTCATTGTTGCAGCTGCGAGCCGCATACCAGAGTGCCAAAAAGCGTTTCGGTGAAAGCAATGGCGAAGTTAGTTGTATATCGCATAAGGCAATATCTGAGGGTGAATAATTATGACGGGCAGTGTTACCGCTTGGAGTTTAAGAATTTGTTAAGAGCGTATCGCAAGCAGTACTTGGATGTTAATGGTAACGAGATGAAATCATATGATGGATTTTATTCGTATCGCTTGAGGCTTACAACTCGACCAAAAGGTGCGTTTCGCGCAACAGTTTTTACCAATCTGAATGGTAATGTCGTGACAGTACGCGAGGAGCTGATAGAACGTTTGAATGTCTATCGAAATGACTCTCACTGCGTGACTTCACCCAGAGCCAAGCAGTTTTGCATTTGCAGACCATCGACCTAAAAATTTCAGCATTTAAGAAAAAAGAAAAATGTGTGTGGCCAACAGATTTGCAAAATGAGAAATATTGAAACTGATAATTAAATTATTTAAGAAATAATTAGAAAATGCAAAAGTAAAATGTTTAGTTGTAATATCAACCTATTTTAGTCTAATACAAATGCAAATTAAAATAAACAAAATAAGACTACAATTTATTATTGAATTGTATTTTATTCAAAGCAATAAAAGCTTTAAATTAAGAAAAACGTCCTTTGATATATGTATTAACATTTAACATTAACATTTTACTATGAAATAGGCCTTTGCGTTTGTTTCACAAATTCGAGAAATTCATAACTACAACAATGTTTCGTCGCCTAGCCTTCAAAAATGGAAAACTTGCTCTTGTCGCTTTTTTACTTATTTTTATTTTTATACTTATTAAGCGTGATACGAATGATGGGGTTGAGAAAAGAACACAATCCACAACAATACATTCAAGCCGATTCCATGTGAAATCCACGATGCGCAAAGACGTCGATAAACCTCCTACCCGAATCAAAGATTTCTGTGTCTTTGATCACAAATGCAAAATACCACGAGTTGATCCATTTTCCAAAGAAGTCATGAACATTTTTACGACGCCCAAATTTAAGGAATGTACGAATCAGCCAGACTTATTAACCGTTCGATTTGATCGGCAGAAGAAACAATATATCATACACGTTAACGAACTTATGTCCATGAAACTATTACCGAATTTAAAGTCTGACTTTGGCTGTGCCTACTTTGAGATAATACGTGGACCGAATGATTCCCTTACCTGGTGTGTTTATCGATTGATTCACAACAGGTTTCACGACTGTTGAATATCAATCAGTTGTTATAGTTAAAGGGGTTCATTAATGTTTATGTAACCATTTCACTTTTAGGAATTTTGGGCCCAGATATTTTAAACAAGATTGGGCCGTACCTCGTCACATTCAAGGTATCATAGTAGAGTGTTTTGAGTACCACAACAGATCGCGAATTATACAGCGCAACGCATTTTCCTTTATCCAGTATCAAGCCGATCGAGACGAGAAACGCGACGAAGCACGCAGTCGGACCCATCCTAGCGTAATAATGCTGGGTATTGATTCCATGTCGCAGATGAACTTCCAGAGGACAATGCCGCGCACAGCCCAGTTTGTGCGTCAGCCGGGCTGGTATGAGATGCTTGGCTTTAACAAGATTGGCGATAATACATTACCCAATATGCTTGCTCTGTTGACGGGTCTTACATCGCGTCAGTGGCGATCCAAGTGCGATGTGCAAGAGCCAGGCTGTTTCGACTCATTTAACTACCTCTGGAATAATTTTCGGAATGCTGGCTATCTGACTGCCTATGCTGAGGACACGCCCAGCATTGATACTTTTCACTATATTTTGCCAGGATTCATTCAACAGCCTGTGGATTACTATCTACGCCCTTTCCTAATGGTCATCCAGCAGCTATTGGTTACGGTACAACACTATGGCTACGACTACTGTCTGGGCCGCAGGCAAAGTTTCCGGTACGTGTTCGACTATTGTCTTCAGCTGATACAGCGTTTTGTCGACGAGACGCCAAAACCAGTCTTTGGTATATTTTGGTCAAATAGCTTTAGTCATGATGACTTTAGAGGCGCGGCAAGTGTGGACAAGGATTTTGTGCGTTACTTCGAGCTTTTCGCGAAGCATCGTTTGTTCGAAAAAACAATTGTCATATTGTTTAGTGATCATGGCCAACGCCAGGGACATTTGATGGAGCTGTCATCAAGCTTTTTGGAAGAGCGATTGCCTATGCTGCACATTTATTTGCCTCCCTGGTATCGGCAGCAGTATCCAGAGGTCGCGCATGCTCTTGACGTGAATCGTCATCGTTTGAGCTCCACCTTAGATTTGCATTTGACCGTTAAGAACTTTCTCCAGCAGGCGGATCCTAGCTTATTATTGGAATCGGCTTGCTTAAAATGTCAATCGCTACTTCAAATTTTGCCCGTCAACCGCAGTTGCGAGGATGCGTCCATACCCGAGCACTGGTGCTCCTGCGACTCGTATACACAAGTGCCTCGCAGCCATTTACTGAACTACTGGGCCAGGATAGTTGTCTATCGTATAAACATGTATCTGAGTAGAAATAATTATGAAAAAAAGTGTTATCGTTTAAAGCTCGCGAAATTACAAAGAGCTGAGCGCAAGCAGAACTTTGATGAAAATGGAAATGATGTGATGCCGTCCAGTAGACTCCAGACATATCGCATCAAGTTCACCACCCAGCCAAATGGGGGCCTGTTTCGTGCAACGTTTTTGACTGACTGGGAAGGTAAGGTGCAGGTACGCGAGGAATTTATAACACGTTTGAATTCCTATCGGAATGAGTCATTTTGCGTTTCTGATCGCACTGCCAAGATGTTTTGCGCTTGTTTAAAAGCACGTCTAAAGTTTTTATATGATGTGATTGATATCAACGACCGAGGGACTCCAAGTTGAAATAAAATTTGCAAATAAAACTGCCACAACAATTTCAATTTTTTGAAGGGAACTGTAGACTTATTTTCACGGGGAGAGTACATTCTAGCAGCGTGAGCCTCATGAGCTGGAAAATTACTCATTTAACATATCTTCCAAATTGTTTCATATGAACAAAGAACTCTTGGCATTTATAATTATCAACTAGTCTCAGCAATGTTTCAAATATTACTCAACAACACCGGCTAAAATCAAAAACATTATAAAATTAGTTTTAAGGGAATGCCAAGACGTAAAACGATGATATTAATACGCAAATACCTTATCATATTCTTTGGAGTTTTATTAATATTTATTTGGCTTAGTCATAGAGATAAAAAGGATGATCCTAAAAATAGTTTCGAGTCTTTTCCACCCGTATCAAAGGAGATGACTCCGGGCTGGCTAAAGGCAGACTTTATTGCAAGAGAAAAGCAACTGCGCGAAATGGTCCAAAGAGGCAAAATGGCAGCTCGAATTGCCGCAGATCAGCAGGAAACAAAAACGGAATCACCCGATGATAATGTAGCTGAGGATGTAATCAACAATTTTGAATTCGAGAAAAGTCCAAGCCAAGAGACAAAGCCATCACGTTATTTTGTAAATAGTACGAAATGCAAGATGCCCTATGCCGATCCCTTCTCGCGGGAGGTAATGGAGGTATATAATCCAACCAAACTCAAGGTCTGCACGAATACGTCGGATCTCTTTTCTCTGAACTACGACCGTGATACGGATCAGTACAATCTGCATGTCAATAGGGAGGTAATGAGAAAACTGAATCTCCGCGTAGCCAGGTATCGGTGCAACTATCGTGAGGTAACCCGGAGCGTCAAGGAAAATCAGGAACGCAATAGCCAGTAAGCCACTTGAATCTTTAACTCGGCATAATCAGCATAATTTTTACAATTGGGCAATTCACTCCATTTAGGGTACATCGGCCAGTCTACTTTGATCAGCAATGCACGCTGCCGCAACACGTACGCGGAATTATTGCCGAGTGTCATGATGCAAACAATGCTTCAAGGATTCTGCAACGGGATGCATTCGCCTTGGTCCGTGCAAACAAGAAGAGCGCACGAATAGAAACCCATCCACTGGAACGTCAGCCCAGCGTTATAATCCTCGGATTGGACAGCATGTCACGCATGAACTTTCAGCGGACAATGCCGGAGACGGCGAAATTCGTAAGGCAAGAAGGCTGGTTTGAAATGGAGGGCTATAACAAGCTTGAGGACAGCACTTTACTTAACTTGATGCCGGTGCTGACGGGTCACAAGTTGACAGAATTAGGAAATGTTTGTGATCTGAACTCTGAAGGCTGTTTGGACCAGTTGCCTTTGATTTGGAGAGATTATAAAAGCGCTGGCTATGCAACAGCTCTAGGGGAAGATACCATAGATGAAGGTTTATTTGCAATGGGTTTTCCTGGCTTCATTAAGGAGCCAGTCGATTATTACCTACGCCCTTTTCTAATAGGCATTAGTCGCTCTATGAACATATATCAAAGGTTTGGGTATCAATACTGTATTGGGCGTCGGCTGAGCATCTCGTATGTGAACGACTTTTGTTTACAGTTTACTTCACGTTTTGCGGAGGAACTGGACCAGCCAATGTTTGGCTTTTTTTGGAGCTGTACATTTACTCATGACTTTTACTTTGCCGCCTCAAGCTTGGATGGGAAATTCGTGGATTACCTGCATCAATTGAAGCATCATGAGCTGTTTGAGAAGTCCATCGTTATACTTATGAGCGATCATGGTGCACGATTTGGCGATCTTTTAGAATTGTCGGATAATTTTCTGGAAGAGCGTTTACCTATGCTGCACATATACTTGCCACCCTGGTTCCGTAACACCTATCCCAACTATGCTGAGGCTTTGTATATGAATCGCAATCGCTTGAGTTCGAACTATGATCTGCATAATACGCTGAGGCATATTCTCCGACTTAACGCCTCGACTCGAGCGGAGCTACCCCCTCTGCCCAGTTGTCCCAGCAGCCAGTCACTGCTACATCCTCTGCCAGAGGAGCGCAGCTGTGAGGACGCTTGCATCGGCGAACATTGGTGCACTTGCAACGAGTTCGTAAGGCAACCCCTAACCGGGGATATGTATTTAATTGGAAAGCAAATTGTGTATCATATCAATCGCTGGATGCTGGTACATCAGCACAATCATTTATGTCAGCGTATTTTACTCCAGGATATGGAATATGCGGAAAAGAAGGTGCTGTTTGAGGAGAATGGCAAAGAGACGATGTATGGATCAATTGTCACTTATCGGTTGCGTTTCCGCACCTATCCTGAAATCGGCAAATTTCAGACTACGATTCGTTATAATCGCGAACTGAAGACCATGGATTATTTACATGTACCGGATATAAGTCGATTGAATAGTTACCGGAAACATGCAGAATGCATTGACGATAAAATTGCGAAAAAGTTCTGCTTTTGCTATCCGAAAGCAAAATTAGATGGTTTTATGGACAACTGGAAAAAAATGAAGCTAACGACTTTAGCGACACTTTAAATTCGTTGGTTATCTTATTAAATTTGCATGTCTACTTTGTGGCAAAATAAAAATTATTATATTCAGAATAATCCTAACTTATATTCGTGTCCAGACAACTGACGTTTTTCTGCACTGACTATTCGATAACTTCATCGTTGTTATCGACATTGACCAACACTTTTTTGTGTCATTTAATTGCGATGTGTTTGTCTTTTGACAGCGATAAAGCTGCGACAGTTTTCATTAATTGCAGTGTTTTCGCAGTAAACGGATCTCTTACTTAACAACTTATTTAATTCATTAAAAGTGACAAAATGAAAATTGTAAAATCGCGAAAATTCTCATTCAAAAATAATAAGAAAAAAAATAATGCTAAAAATAAAACTTTTTCGGTTTTGACCCGCTCACAGACCAAAGGTTCTTCTGAAGAAGAGAACATGAACACTCAGGACTCGAAATTTAAAATAAAGATTACCGTTAAACTTACCAATGAGTTGGACAAGGAAATAGGTTCCGGTATATCATTAATTGCCAAGCCGAAGGCACTGAAGCGTTCGCGAGCTACTCAAACAAAAAGGAAGCTTTCAGCAGTCAAGAAGCAAAAACTTGAAACTGACGAAGATATAAAGCAACACCCACAAATTCAAAGGGAATCAAAAACCACCAACATAAAAAAAACTTCTAACCGGATGGTTAAAAAAGGCAAGTCCATGTACAAAAATATTCAAATGCATACGGTCAACGAGCAGCCCGATGCCATTTTACAAAATGAGGCTCAGCGTGTACTACAGCTCCAATCGGATGCGTATAAGAACTATTGTCAGAATTCAGGTTTTCGATTGGCTTCTCTATTCGAAGCAATCAAGCAGGGAAAGCCAATATCATACCCAAATCTTACGCAAACTGCAAACCAAACGGATAAAATTGGCAAGGCCCAGTGTAAAAATATGCAATTAAAGACAATCAATGAGCAGCCTGATGCCATAGTACAAACTGAAGCTCGGCGTGAGCTACAGGTCTATCCGGAAACGTATAAATCCTATTGCCAGAACTCAGGTTTTCGATTAGCTTCTCTATACGAAGCAAACAAGCAGGGAAAGCCAATGTCAAGCCCAAATCTTCCAAAAACTTCAACCCAGATGGCTGAAATAGGCAAGTCCCAATGCAAAAATATGCCAAAGGATCAACTAATGGAAACAACGAACGAGCAGTCTACAGGAATTCAAACTCCGTATAAATCTTACTGCCACAATTCAGGCCTTCGATTGCCTGCTCAATTCGAAGCAACAAAGCTGGAAACGCCAATATCATCTCCCACAATTTTAAAGGGGCCAATGCAAAATCGTGATATTTACGACGTTATCAGACAATGGAAGGAAGTAAAACCCGTATCATTACCAAAAATTCTAAAGACTCCAATGCAGATGCCTAGGGGCAACTCCAAGCGCCAAATTGTTCGAATTTTGCAGCCTGACTACGAAATAAAAACTGTGGCTCAGTCTGAACTACACTTCCAGCCGCTGAACTACAATTCTGACAGTCGATTGGCTCCTCCACTTGAAGGTAATGAACAGAACGTGGGCGCATTAAAGCCTCGAATGATGTTTGATTCCAAAAATAATATTAAAATAACATCTAAGTATAAAACTGCAACGGCCATAACTATGAAAACACAAATGGAAATGATGAGGAGGCAGAATCGTATCAAGATTGAGCCGAAGATTCATGTCCCATTCTCAAATCGCCTAATGTTAAAATACAAAGAACAATACGGGAGCAATAAGATGTTCAATGAAGCTAAACCATTTCAGCCCATACTACACCAAAAAGGCCCAGAGATTTTCTTGGCTGATAGCGCTACTTGGCGCTGTTCGGTGCTATAAATAAATTATAAAATTATAAATTATTAGAAATAAAAGCAATGCAATAAACTTAAAATGAAACAAAGTGGACTTTAAATATAAAATAACTACAATTATTAGCATTTTTAAGAAATTAAATAATATACTTGTATATAAAAATATATATACCACTAATATATTACATATATATAGATTTTTGACTTCTTTGGTAACCAAAGAAAAGTCATGATCTTGAATTAAAAAACAAAACTTGCAATCTAAGCAAAAATGCGAAGGAAATAAGTTTGAAGGGTATTGAATATGAAATGCAAATATAGTCTAGGTATTTTGCACAGATTTAAAAATCTACATTTGGTCGTTCCTTTTATTTATTCATTATAGCTTTTAAAGTGTTCTTTTAAATTTAGTTATAAATAAGTTTGTTTTTCTTTCACTCTAAGCTTTTTGCTATTCGTAATGCTACCTTCAATTGTATTGAAACCTTTAGTGAAGGCACTTACGAGTTATTAAGGTGTATGTCACTGTGTTTATCTACTAAACTTATTCAAACTTGAATGCAATGAAAATAAATTGGCCTCAATTCTTTTTAGCCATTATTAAATACTAAGTATATCAAAAACCGCCAGCTAAGTGGCGCCATTCTATAAAATATTAAATACCAACAAAACAACATTAACAATAGAACTTGGGCCTAACGAATTCCGCTTATAAAAACTATAAAACTCTTTAATAAGATCTTCTTTATCCTATACTCGTCCGATGCTACATATACGAATCCACCGGATAGCGTTCGGCCTCCTCGAGCATGTGGCGAAAATCGACGGGTTGAGCAAGCGGCGCTACCGGCCCAGTGCCAGGTCGTCCAGCCACATGTCCGTTCATCATTTGTGTGGGTCTTTTAGCGCTTACCAGAGCACTGCCCCGACTCTTCAGATGGCCATTCATCATGCTAACATGATGACTGATCGTGGGCACCGCACCCGGCACATTCGTTTCCAGATCATGCAGTATGGCATCCGTTTGTTCGTTGCGCATCACGTGATTGCCCAGCGTCTCGGAGGCATCCTCGCCCTCAAGCTTATTGGTCAACTGTTGAATGTGATTCCGTATAAGCCGCTCGAATTCGCGCTGTACGGAGGGACTGTCCGTGTCGCCATCGACCTTAGCAGAAAACCAACATATATTGAGTTATCTGGCGCGTAATGGGATTTGCCAACTTACAATCTGTAACCGATTGCTGCTGTCCATTGTCTTCAGCATAGGCAAGGTCTGCTCACGGAATAGCTCCAGACGACGTCGAAACGAGGAGACCGTATCGTCTATACGTCCCCGACCCAGCTGTAATTTTGAGCAGTCCAATAGTATGGTGGGTGGACGTTGTTTGTACTGGAATGGAAATTGAATTGAAGTTATTTTTTTTATCTGAGTAATATTGAGTTATCTCAAAAATAATTATTTTTAATGGAAATGTGATTATAATTATCTACGGAACAAACATACAATAGTAATCAAAAAACCCAAGAGTATATACTCTTTTAAATATGAAGCTAGTGTGCGAAATATTTCTATTCGATTTTATAGTTAGACTTTCATTTTAACTAAATTTGAGCAGTTATACGATAAATCATCTTAATATTATTAGGGTTCTAACATCTGCTTGCTTCGTAGATTCTAACTCGTCAATAAATAGCACAAATTTGTCCTATGAAGGTGATGATAGAGTCAGCAGTTACAGAGTTTCAACAAAATACATATAAACATATAAACGGATGGACATGAACAAGAACACATGTGCCCAACGGGGTCGATGATCTAATAATAATATCTACTCCGATTATATAAGCAAGTGTTACCATCTAAGCCATTTTGGGATGAAATATCAATTTGATTAAATGCGCTTAATTCGAATTGTAAAATCAAATTAATACCAGCAACGTTTTTTTTGCTTATTTTTAATTTCAGATTCCAACTGACTTCTGAGCATATTTATTGCTAAGGCTTAGAAATGTAGATACATAAATACGTAAGTACATCAAGATATTTTAAATAACATTCTCGATCTGTAAGTCAGCAACAATTGAATTGCTTAAATTAAGGGCTCTTCATTCCATTCTAATTGTTAATGCCTAGTTGCAAATGGGGATTAATAAATTGCTAGTAAATATTTAGCTGGAAGGCAAACTAACTGATAAATTTAACAGACAAGAATTTGATAAAATAGCAGAGAATTTGGCTAATATTTTTGTGAACTTTAACATGAACATATTAACATTTACCATGAAGATTCCATTTAAGAGACTAGCCAATTGACCCACCTTATTTTCAAAGTATTTGACCTGCTGCAGATTGCGTGGATATCCGTCAATGATAATGCCCGATTTATCCTGCAGTTGACGTATATTGTTATCCAGCAGTTGATTCAGCGACTTCTCTGGGGCCATTTCGCCAGCAGCAAGAGCCTCTTTGACGGCATAGCTCTCGGTGTTGGCACGTGGCGCAGTGTCCGTAATGTTGCGCAGTAGACGACCCACGCTGTATCCATGCAAACGAAACTGTTGAGGATCAGGAATCAAGTGTGTTTAGCTTAGGGCTTACCTGATGTGCGACCAGCCCGGATTCAGGCTAATCGCCTTTAAGCACAGTGTGGCCTTGTTACTGCCCGGACCGCCAATTACCCAAATAATGGGCGGTATGGTTGGCTCCGGTTCATCGCTGGCATCCATGCTGTTGCCGGCATGAGTCAGCTTCGGCTGCTGGGTGACAACTACGCCACTGTCGTCATCCGCACTGGTGCCGCCTGTTCTGAGAGTCGCTGCAGCTGTGACCGTATTGGCGGCTATGTGAGATATCACAGCGTTTGTGACATTGCGCTCACGTGGCACAGGTGCGACGACTTGGTCTGTAATGTGAGGCGCTTGGGCTTGACTAGGTGCGGTGTCTACGCTAACTATACTGCCGGGTATATCATGTATCCCTCTGCCCATACCTGTAACTCCATTCAGTATGGCCTCTTGATTCTCGAGCGTGCTCAGTATGTCAAGCACAGCGGTGCGAAAGTCTTTATACACTTCTGTAGGCGCACGCTCGCCATTTACCTGCAAAGTTTAGATGAATATGATTAAAGCCAATTTGTAGATGTGTAGAATTTATTTGCTACTCACGGCCAACAGCATGTCGCTTTGATCAAAATAATCAGCGACTGGCATCACATTTTTAAAGAAATTTTCCAATTCCATTTTGGCTAAGGAGAGTACAACATGACCTAATTTAGCGCCATAATCGATTTGTTTCTGCAGCACCGACTGGCGCCAGGATATTAGGATAACGCCATTTACGACTTGTATCTGAAATTGAATAATTGGTTTTATAAATTTAAATACATTTTCTCTTACGGTAATAAAGGCATTAATTTTTGCACTATAAATATATTTAAACATCATCGTTATGCCACAAACATGACAAACAATGACTTCATTTTTACAGCCGAGGGCTAAAATTCACCATCCTTTATTTTAAACTAATAAATTCTGGAGGAAAATTCAAGTAGACTACAGGGTATTTTCTTATCTGAAGTTCTGACCTTCCTAATTTATTCAATTTTTGGCTCAAATACTTTTATTTCCTATTTTAATTACGATTGAAGTTTTATTAAACGCCAATAGAATATTTTTTCATGTTAGTTATCTAAAAAAATGATTTTAAAAACATTCTCAAAGTAAACGAAGTTGTTTGACATAAAAAAATCGTTTATTCCAGAAGCTCTTTAATAATTGGGCTCATAAATTTAGAAAATCGAGTACACCTTATATTGGTAACATTAATTAAACCAGACCTCTACCTGTAGCATTATGTAAAGCCCAATGTGCCTCTGGAGGCCACTTCAGCCAATTAGCATATACATATGCCTGAGTATAGGTATGTGCATAAGTATATTTTATTGTTATGTGTACGTCTCAAAATTCATGGGAATTGGGCTTTAACAAATAAACGTCCACCCATTTGGCAGCTAATTAGTTCAAATGGTTGAACAGCAATTTGCTGAACAAACACATAAAAACCCATAAATACAAAATAGTCCAAATATGTTTCATAATAAATACGAGTAAGTCTGTATGTTCGACAATATAAATATATAAATAAATATTGCTTAAGATTGTGTAATTGGGGAATTACCTTCTCGGAATATTCGACAACGTCGCGCATGGAACGTGGATATCCAGATATTAGGTATGCTTTGGCAGCTGGAGCCATTTTCATTTCCAACATCAACACCTCGGTGACTGTTTTCGACGACAGTTGCGAAAAGTCTTGCATATCTGAAATTTGATTGTCATCAATTAAAATTAAATAAATTTATTTTATAACAGCGAACGTAACTAAACTCTGATTAAGATTGGTTTGACATATTCTTGAACCCAGTTATTGGATCAAATTTTAGCTTGCCAAGATGCGGCCCAAAAACATGATCTAAATTTAAAATTAGCATCTGCCTAATTTGTTCAAAAAAACTAAATACTTTGCTAATCTAAATTATTATATATACAAAATATAGACTATTCGGACATTCATGGACAACTCTTCTGGCAAATAGGGAAATGTCCACAAGGGTGTTACATCTTCCGAAGATACCCTTACCGTTTTGTTTTTAATATGTTTTATTCTTGATTTCGTTGCATTCTAATTTTTCCATATAGGATAAGATTTAGTGGCTGGCCTCTACTATTCTTTAGATGTGACAATTTCTTTGCCGACCACTACTGTAGCCAGAAACGTAAAATACGGCTACAACATGCTAAAAATAATTAGTGCACCTTTTAAGAAACCTTGAAAATATGATTTTGTGGAAAGACGGAACTCGAATGATAGAAGAATGATCTTGATTTCCTTTACGATTGTTTTTAATACATTTAAATAAATTATAAGTGTATTATTAATAATTTTATTTTATTGTATAAATACCATGTATATATTTACCATAGGTATTAATTTATTTATTACGTATGGGAATAAATTTAAGGTCAATTTTATAATATCATCATTTATATATCTTGTGGGATATATATATGTATCTAATATTTATATGGTATATATAGAAAAAGAAATATTTCTAATGAATTGAATTTGTTGAAAGCAAAAACAAAAACGTACCACTTCCCATTGCATATTGCTGCAGCAGATCCATCATATTGATGTGCGTAACACCGCGTCGCTCCTGCATGAAAGTATCGCAATGGGTGACCTTGCCACTACCTGGGCCGCCTAAAACAAATATCACTGGCACCTTGGGCGGATCGAATTTGATCTTTCCAGCATTTTGCATATCGATAGCAGCGATGTTGCCCGAACCGAGCCGCCCATTGCCGTTCAGTGCCATAACGCTGCCAGGTCCGGCATTTGGGCCATTTCGATTCCGTGTATGATTCCAATCGTTGCCTGGTTCGCCGGTATCTTGTGCCGCGCTGGCATCTAAAAAATAATGTTCGTACATAATTCGATTTGATGGGCTACACACAAGGGCGGGAACAAAATAACGCGCCCCAAAGCAACAGTTGAGCAGGACTGGGACATTAACAGGACCGGAAACCGGATGTGCTGCCAAGTTAGCGCCCCGCCTTGTTACGTGCCAAACGGCATTAGTGCTATTCCTGCCACAGACCGGAAGCAATTTGTTGGGGGGTAGGAAATTAACTGTACAGTGCACAAAACGCCAAACATATCATTAAAATATATGTTTAACAATTATTTAATTGCAGACTCGGCGCCAGCATGCGTCATTCTAGGCCGATTCGTATATATGTGTTATGTATTTTCATTCATGGAAAATCAGCTGCGCAAAAGCGTTGCCTACTCTCGGCCGCAACGCCAACAATTTCGCGTATTTCCAGTGGGGTCTGCGATTAGAACTGGTTCTCAGGCTTTGCAGCTCGTGTATTCTACATTCCTGTGACATTTTTTTCTTCTATTGATTTTCCTGCAGTTCTATTTAATTGACATGTTGTTTTGTTATTGTTGCTATCCCTTTTCAGAGCACATAAAGCGATTTGCCTTGTTATTCTGTCTCTCTTTTTTTGGATTTGTTTTTGTATGCGTTTCGGATTTTTATATTAGTTTATTGCCTGTTTGATGGTCAACGAACATGTCCAAGGACCTATCGACGAGGCCGTGCACAACACAAGCGCCCACCACAAATTATAGCGTTTGTGCAAGGTCCTTTGTTATATTTTGTCAAAGCGTTTTGTATATTCAAGTGTTTTCCACAAGAGATTGAGACATATTGTTGGCCTTAGAACTGCAGAAGCAGCACAAATCAAAATCAAATTGTGCTTAATTAATTTCATCATTTCGCATTTGTCTTTCAGTTCAACATTAATGGCAGTATTCAAAGCTTATCTACGGTCAGCTTTTACTTAGGGTTTATGCAGTCCCAATCAGCACATGTGTCGATACAATTTGTATTAACTTATAACTACAATTATTATATGTGCTATGCACTGACAATAACTTAAATGTGGAACACGGACTAGAGGAAAATTTAACGAAAAATTAAACTTTATTGCTTACAAGCAAAGCTTTTTCTTGTTTGCTCTCTTAAAAGTTTTTATTATCCTTAATCTAAGCAACTAGATAAGGCTACTGTTCAACCCAACTATGAGAAATATTGATTTATGCCAAGGAAAATAAAATTATAAAAGCGAACTAAACAGTTATCTAACCTACTTCAAAATGAGCATATATTTTTTTACTTTTACTTACTTGACTTTTGACTTTTACTTATCAAAATATTTTTAAGGCATCTTCAAGTACGTCATATTAAACACGTCGCATGCAGAATAGTTTTGTACATTATTTTCTTTTTGGACTTTTTTTTTGCTTTTTCGGTAACCTGATTATTCTACATTCTGGCTGTTTGTTTTGACTGTTGCTTTGGGCCGGCTGTGTTATTTGAGGCCTGTTGGACAAAAGTTGAATTTGTACAGCTGGCGCATTGCTTACCTGTGTCTAAACAAATACCCATTATCCATTCGGTGGCCAGTATAGCTGAATTTTCGCAATGTCTTTTGCCTGTTTTTCCACTCGTGCCCCACTCAATTAACGCATATATTGAGAGAGGGTGAGAGTTCAGTGCGCTTGGTTATGAAAATCAAATGGAACTTTCCACCAACGTTTCAACTATATGCACTCTTATTATTTTGCTAGACTCTGTTTTCTTTTATATTTTTTTGGTTTTTTGTTTTTTTTTTGTAGAACTTTATATTGTATATTTTTTTCGTATTTGTTATTGTATGTGGTTTCGCTCTTTTGGTATCTCTGGGCGACACGTTAACATTTTTCGTTGGCAACACGCACAGGAAAATTGTTTACTACATAGCGCCGGTTATTTCAGGCTTGGCCGTTACCATACCCCATAAAGCGTGATATTGCCTCTGATTTGTGGCTGCGATTGCGGTACTGTGTGGTACAAATATATGCAGGTTCTGCTGCCCGAACGTCCGAAACGAGACTGAATTTCAAATTTGACAAATGGTTCGGTTTTTACCAGCTACAATCCTCGGCAATTGGTCAGTTAGGCAGGCGCGCGCGTTTCCAATTAATGAATACTTTATGAGTTCCAGTCGTTCATATGATTCACAATGTATTCGTATGGGTTAACTAAGTAATATATGTGACCAGGCGGCATAGACCAATATTAAATTTGACCGGCAGTTTGTCATAGCCCCAGCACTGGAAAGTTGTTGCTCTATCCGATGCCTTGTGCCGTGTGCCGTACAGGGCCTGTGCCTGGGCCGCCGTTTGTTTATGCAATCCAAACAATGTCCCGGCCAGCCTGGTGCGTTCTCACTAATCTTTCAAGCTCTTTTGCTGTTTCTGTTGATGCTCCTGTCATATTGTTGCCCTGCTGCCATCCTGTCGACATCGTTGATTGTGCCTGTCGTTTTTGGTGTAAATAAAACCTCTGACTTGCAGCTGTTCATTTGGTTAGCGCAGCTCAAGCCACACAAATACTACAGTTTGCTGCTTGAAGTAATGTCCAGCATAATTTTAGCCTTAAGTTTCTTAGTATTTATCTGACTTTAAGTCTTATACTATTTCTAAAGTTAGTAATTATAAACAATTAAAATTCCTCAAAACACTTGTACACATTAGTTACCTGCATCTGTTAAAATCTGTTAAATTTGACAGCACTTCAATTGTTACGTTTTACAACACTTAAATCGTTATTTTCAAATATCAAATATCGTACCTTCCAGCACAGTATGCTGCTATTTTAGAACTTGGTAAATATTATTAATTTCAGCTGATTATTTAAACACTGCTTGTTTCTTTTAAAATATATTTTGTGATATATTATTATTATTTAACAAAATTTATTGTTTATTATTTACTTATCTATTTGAAGCTAACAGCATACTTTAGTTTTATATTGTATTAAATATTTGTAGAATACACTTAGTACGCAAAAATTAAGAATATGTATGACTTAAAGTAAATGTTATTTTAAATTACGAAACAATATAGTTTACGAATGTTGTAAAATGTTTTTTTTTCAAACAATTGCATTAGGTGCTGGCAAAGGAGCATTGCTGAGCTTGAGTGTTGTAAAATATGCTCAATTACAGTAAAAGTGCTGATAATAAAATGATTTATTAAAAATTGATCTAAATAAATTGTAATCACTTTAATTTTTTATTCATTCAATTGTATGCTGCTTAATTAAAATGGCTTGCAACAATCACGAATGTCTTGATTTCTTCTGTATTGAACCTAGTCAAATGCGCTGTGCTGTACATAAAATGTTCACCTTTCATACGTACTTAGTTCTGAATGGCTTGGATGCGTTTTTGATGGATAGAAAATTGCACAATTATCATCATAATCTAAATTGTTAAATCTGGTAGGGGAAAATATGGCGGGTGTCTCTAAAATGAGTAAAAATCGAAAAGTGTTGGGTGAATGCTAGGTGCACGAGATTTTCAATTAATATTTCACTCGATTGATTGCGTGTAATTATACTGTTGGCTTACAGCGAAAATAAAATAGAATCGTTGAATTTGGCATTGACAGTTGACAGCTGTCGAAATTTCCAAAGTAGATATGTTCAATTAAATTTCTATTGATTTTGTTTGTCCTAATGATGAGAGAAAACAAAGCGCGGGTCAATAGGCGCGACAAGGACACAAAAAGAAGTTCAAAGCTGAAGGAAATTTCATATCGATCAAAATGCTCACATATATCGACCCGGACCCCTAAACAGATGCGTCGCCTAATTTGCGTCTAACACTGGAACTTGTGACATGCCATGTCCGGCCGTTGGCAAGGACAATAACGACAAATGAGATTGGCACACACACTCACACAGACACACGCACACACACACACACTGGGCAGGACAATCAGGCTAGCTGCTCTGATTTTATTTTTTTATTAGTAGGTCCTCAAATTTATAGCATATGCTTTGTCGCAACCATTGACCACAAACCATGAACCAGCGCAGTGTCATCGCCAGCATTGGGTGTGTCTAGCAGCACGTGTGTTTCTCGTCCTTGAGCTCCTGTTGGGCGTTTGGTTATTAAATGCTTTTGGGAACTTAATTAAGGTTATAGCCAGCAGTAAGAATTATAACAACAACAATGACAGGAACGACAATCAGAGTTTAATGCCGCCGTCTAGCTGGCTCAATTGATTCCCCAATTACATTTCTGCGGGGGGGTTAGAATCCTACTAAACATACGTGCAGCTGGGTTTAAGGGACACTGCGTGTGAATGTGTTGAAAAGGTCACATTAAAGGTAATCCAAAAATTTAACGATGCATATACGCTTTTTATACCCTGAACCCATTAAAATGGGTATAAGGGTATATTGTATTTGTGCGAAAGCCAAATGTATGTAACAGGCAGAAGGAAGCATCTCCGACCCCATAAAGTATATATATTCTTGATCAGCATCAATAGCCGAGTCGATCTATCCATGTCCGTCTGTCTGTCCGTCCGTCCGTCCGTCCGTCCGTATGTATGAACGCAAGGATCTCAGAACCTATAAGAGCTAGAGACTTGAAATTTTATATGTAGGTGCTCCTAGCTCCCGCGCAGATCGAGTTTGTTTTCGATAATCGATAACTTACTCCGTTTCCAGGCAATCGATAAAAATCGATATCGCTATCATGTTTTTTTGGGCACTTTTGGTAAATAATAAGAGCTAGAGTCACCAAACTTGACAATTAGCTTCTAAAATAGAATATATATATGCATTTGATGTTGGAAGAAGAGAATTCAGGGTATCCCCTAGTCGGAAGCTCCCGACTAGAACCTCTTACTTGTTTTTGGTTTGCTATTGACTCTGACCACATTGCTTTAGGGTTAAACTTTTACCAGTCAAATTCTCGCTCGATCACCTACGAGTTATTTTCATTAAACCTTGTTAAGTTTTAACTTATGCTATGGATATTTGTCCGGGTATCTGCAAGGGCATTAAATCTTCCTTATTTTCTCGTTTTTATTCACATTTGTTTTGGTTAAAATAATAATAAGTAAGCTTGGAAAATACGTAAATTGAAATACTTGAAATAAAAATAAACGGTTGCTTAGCACATTTCGTAGATAAAGTACTGAATTTGGATCTACTATCTATGATTAATTTTCTACTATTAATTTTCGACCCGGATTTCGACTGGGTTTGTACTTGATTTATTTAAGAAAGTCCTAAGTTTTTTCTTGAGTGTGAATCATTTATCACTAAATTTATGATTGTAGGATATCCGACTTTCTACAACTCTTACATATTTTCAATATGAGAAAAATTTCGAAAATTGAATTTTGATATTATAAAACAAATGTCACATATGATTTGTGTCTGCTGGGGTATTTGGACTCAGATTTAAACATACTTACTATGTGTCAAGTAATTATATGCTATGGGTAGTTTTATTGTTACACAAATTGTACTATAAATAGTTATGGCTCAACACGTGTTGTCCTTGTGATTGATTACTCTATTAAGATAATTTGGGCTAATGCCGCCATTCAAAGGTGATTAGGACCTTGTGTAAAATATTTACACAGGCTCTCACCCATTTCTCGGGGTTTACGCAGTTTGTTGAGCAACTTTCAGCAGTTTTGCTGTCGATATCGAAGTCCTTCAGCCAATTACTCAATTGCTTTATTGTTTTTCTAGGGGACATAATTTGCTTTTTCTTGTTGTTGCTTTTATTTTTCCCGTTTTTACATATTAGGTGCAGACAAACTTTTGCCGCCTATCATTTAACCTTCCCACAATATGTCCCCGTGTTTAAATTAATATTTGATTTGCAACTGTAAAGTTCCCAAGAGCTAATATGACAATATGGTTAAACTGTCCCTTCGGGGCCTTTTGTAGGACCTTTATTATTTTATGGAATTTTTAATGCATTTTTGGTTCTTTCGGTTGCATGTAAATGCTGATCGTGCAAGGACAAAGCGAAAGTTTTCAAGGATACATTTCTTAACCCGAAAGGTAAGTTCGGAGCTCACTCCGAGGACATACCCTAGCATTTAAGGAAAGTTGATGTAAATAGAGTACAAGTCAAAACAACCAAGAATACATTTTTAGGACTAATTAGAAGTATAGAAATAGTATCTTAGGGTATAAGAAATTGCTTAAAATGCATATTTCACAAGGTTGGTTCAATTTAAAAATTCCACATTCTACATTTATCCATATTGAAATTTATTTGCTTAATATTAGCTACAATTTAATATAATATCACTGGGTTAAAATTCTACTGTACACTTTGACTAAAGTTGCAAAACATAGCCTAGACAGCATTCTTATTTTTAGCTAATTGCACTCTTGCCGGATAGAAATATTTTCTTTCTATTTAAAATGTAGTTTTTAAACCAAGTTCATAAAATATTTTTGCTATCCAATAATTTTACCACAAAATCTTGCAACGCTTTACATATTTGGCCAGATGTCTAATAGGTGTGAGCACAGCTTAACTCTTTGGCTTCTGGTCTCCAGCACTGGGAGAATATGCCTGATTCTCGTAGCCTGCATAGTTGCCCAGCACCATGGATATGCGGGAGGGTGAATGTTGTATGCCATTGGGTGTTGCCAGTGTGTCACTAGCAGCGTTGCCAGACTGCTTGCTGGTGGTGGGCAGCACAAAGCTGCCTTGGCGACAGCTACGTGAGAGAAATAGACGCAGCTTGAAGAAAGCAAAGAGCAGCGCATAGATGCAACACGAGAGCACCAAGACACCCAAAACCGTAATAAAAGCATTTTGAGGCTGATTCCAGTCAATGACATGATAGATATACGGTTTTCCCTTCCTATTTAGTGCAGAGTGCAAAAAGTATACAATTACTATGGGCAGTTTGAGTTGGAATCGTTAACTCACTTGTTGATGCCGCCGGCCAGTTGATATATGTACGAGAATATGGCATAGATAATGCCGAACAATACTGGCAGAAATACGTGCAGCAATCGCAACGGATGTGCCACAATCCACAGATCAATGAACATGCAAATGGAGTTGAATGCATGGGTGAGTACATTTGTGGCATCCAAAGTACTTTCATTGGCTGCAATTCAAACAGAGAAAACAGATAACATTTCGTTGGGTTTACCTATAGAAATAAAAATAAAAATAAAACACTTGCCATCGTAGAGTATGCTCCAGTAGATAATTGTGATGACAATCGATAAGACTAGCGTAATAATATGCATGCTCCAGTAAATCCGAAAAGGGCTCGTCCAGGCCTGCATATTGAGCAGCTTATCTATGGATTATGAAATGAAAACCAATTCAAATTAAGTCAGAATTTTAAAATGTTTTATGTTTTATAGCAATTTATGCTTCTACAGATCTTGTAATTAATATTCTCATTGGTTAATCCGTCAGTTTTTATTATGCTTTTCTTAAAATGATTGTATTTAATAAATAAGAGCGCTGTAATGGAGTATGCTCGACTACAAAATTCCCTGTACACCTCGATAGCTCACTAAACGAAATCTAGAAATTTATTATTGATATCGACAAAAAAATGAAAAGCTTGTTTTGTGTATGGTATAGAAGAATATGTATTTCAAATTGCAAGTCTCTTATGGAGTGCCATGCCACTATATAATCAATTGCTTCACTGACAAGATTTAATTTAAAACTTACCCGCGTATTCTGGATGATAATGCCATATGGTAACAAGTGTAGCGCCAAGTAAATTAGTTAGCATACACATCCAAATGCCCCAATTGGTCATATAGATGAAATATAGCCAGTAGCAGGACTCATCATCGGATCGCGGCCACATGGACTCAATGACAACGGCGATGAAGAAGAGGGCCATAAACCAGCGATAGAACAAATATACCATGCTCTTTGTACAGGTCTGCCACTGTAATTTAGAATAACTAAGTATGAATATTAAGTCGTACGACTATATTAGATATATGTACATATAAATATGTATGAGTGTGTACCTGCTGGGTGTATTAGTCTACCAGCCCCATAAAACTTGATACATCGAGTAGGAGAGCGTTGTGTAGGGCGGGTCAGCGAGCAGTTTTGTTGTACCTGGCGCCACAAGCGATGCATGGCAATATACAGTTAGTAGCTGTTTGCCGCTTATTAATATTTCAAAAGTTTAATTTACAATGCTAGTACAATCGGCTGTCTAACTACACAACCACCCAACCACACAACAGAACTTGGAGTGCCCTCTCTTTCAATTGATACTATGAATGAAAGAAACTCATCAAATATGCTCAAGGTAAAACAATAAAATGGTTGAAACCAGTCACCAGTTCAACTGGGCAACGCCCATTTCTTACAGTTTTGGTCATTTGATTATATAAAGCAAATTATATAGACACTATTCCTGAGGCGACCATCGGCGATCAATCGATGTGCCATAAAAGCCTTAATAGACTTTTGGAAATTTTGTTATTTTAAACTGTTTATTGAGGAAAGCTTCTTTGAACATAATCTCTTTTTATTATAATAATAATAATATAATAAAATATACTAGTTTTCAATGCAACGTAACCACAAAGCTCAAACACCGATGATCAAACTATTGTGGCGAGAAGCCACAAGATTTGTAGCTTGTAACTTTAATCTACACGTAATATTTAATATACACAATAAGGGATATATTAGAATATTACCTTGACTTAAAAAGTATCCAATGCATTTCGGCTTTCTTCACAATAATATTAACACTCTTTTGTAAACTAAAATCAAGACATCATTAAAATGCATATTATAAATATTATAATACATATATCAGTTCGATAATCTGATTGGAGTGTTAAGTTTTATGATGATTAATCTCGGTCCAAGCGACTACGAAATTTGCTTCACTGTAAGACCCATAGGCTCGTTAAAAATATTTGATGTGGCCTCGAGGAACACACTAACGACAGGAGCAGAGCAAACAGTTTAAAGTGGGCATTGACCCGCTATGTTATATAAATAATCCGAATAGTACGCACCCAGCGCGTGTCTATTCAAGGAGACTGCTCAAGGACTGAATAGGTGTAGAGATATAGGGCTTTACTTATTTTGGGTCTTACCTGCGATTTGACAAAATCATCGGGCGTATCATGATCAAAACCGCAACGTTTGCGTCTAAATTCCTTCCTCACTGGATGCACAATCACTTGAAGTTTTGTCATCTTGTGCGGCTGAGATGCAGTTGTTAACTTTGGAGATGCGTTGTTGTTATTTTATTGTTTTTATTTTTTTGTTCAGGCGATTTACAAAACTTGTCGAGACATGCAACTGTTGTGCCCCACGCAAGGTATTATGCAATAGTATAAGCAGTTAGTAGAAATGCCATATTGCTAGCTGATTCTAATATTTGTATGGCATGATCAAAGGTTAGACCTGTGGATAAAACAAATTACGTTGTTTATAAGAAAATGGAAATTATAATTACTAATTATTAGGCATTGAGCCAACTTATTAAGCTTCAAGTTAATATTCAACAAGGCAAAATCAAAATAAATCAAATTTAAATCGAACCGGCTTGTACTCAGTATTTAAATGATTTTTTAGTTCTAGCCAAACCTTTAATAAAACCTGTTTGTGCAACAATTAAACCTAAAGGTAAAAAGATATAATTTAATTGAAAATTTACTTCATATCCGGGAGGTATTTCTCATATATTTTCGAAAACTCACGAGCCAAATCAAAGCGTGAGGCATTGGCTCGAACCGTAAATCGAACCAGCAAACTTTTTCTTCCTATCTTTATAATGCGTATTTCAATAGAAGGTTTATATGTGTGTGTAAATCTGAATCGAAACGTAACCTTTTCAAAAAATTTCATTAACCGAGTAGCCTATCAGCTAGTGCTTGCTACTTTCAACCTAATTTTTCAGTCGGAGCTGTTGTTCTGTATCGTCAACATCGAAAAAGCTCATAATAATTTTTCAAATTACGTTCAAAATTATTTCGATATGGATAAAGTGAGAAAGTTAATTTTTCCCACGTGGCGCCCAATTGTACGTGGTAGGTTATCGGATTTTTAGGCGGGCACTTTATTTCTTTTTTTGTTTTTGTTTTTGTTTAATAACGAAATATCCTCCAAAGCTGCACGTAATTATTGCTGCGATCAAAAAGTGAAGAATCTTGTGACTTTCCCGGAGGTCACTATCGGGGATGGTAAGCTGAAATATATTCTTGCCAAGGTCTACGTTCACGGCGAAATGGGGCAGGCGAAAACAGTTGTGCGTGGCGTATCCCGGGTTAAATACCATCGTGAGTAGAACTTGAATATTTAATCGATTATAAACTAAATGCATTCGAACTGTGCAGTCGATGTCTATGACCAGTTGCAAAGGGAAGCCAACAGTCTTGATCTGTGCACTCAATGCTTGGGTGGCGGTATTATGGTCCACGATTGCGATAAGAATTATATCAAGATTTATGGCCGTTCTCAGACGCTGGGCAAAGCCGATCATCACGAGACTAGAGACGTCTTACATGAACAAGAGAAGTATTCTGCTTACAAAATTGATGCTGAATCTGGCGGAATGGATATATAAAACATATAGTGTACGTCAATCCAGCTAAACAAATATTTAAAATTTTTATAGAAATCTCTAAATTGTATTTGTGTATTTGTCTTTGGTCAATTCGGTTATGTATTTAAATTTTCGGGCTATTAAAAAAAAAATGACGTCAAAATTGGGTTTTAAATACTGTAGTAGTTCCACTTGATAATATCGGGAGTTCAGCAGCGACTGGATTCCACTATTTTTGTTTGAATATAGAAAACGCAATTTGTTGTGCGTTGTGCTCCCTATTCACTGAATCAAAATTTAGAATATATGATATATAATATAATTTAGAATATATATAATTTATATTTGGACTTTAAATATCATGTTTCGGGCAGAATAGTTGATTGCGAGGTAATATGGTTCTTTGATGCCATTATATCTTCTGGTTTTACGACCCAACGTTGCGTATGTGCACATATGCCCTTCCAGGCCTCAATACCAGACCAGTATAATTCGGCCATATTGAGCGCGGACTGCAGAGCTTTTCCGTTTATAACGTAAATTGTTTAGCACTTAATTCGCCTCACTGCACCCTAACATTATTTATGTATAATTATGATTTTGAATACTTTTGCAGCGCATCAGTTTACCTTTGTGTAACTATTCATTATAAATATCGTTCGTTTTTTTTCCATTATAATATAACAATTAGCTAACTGAGGTCGTCACTGGTTGCCACAAAAGGGGCGCCATGAAACAACAAGGGCAACATATATTAAAATTACACTTAATTAAGACTCAAACTGTAAGTGCGATCCGTAGGTCATTCGAGCGTTGGGTAAATTATAAAGTAGCCAACAAATAATGTATACACATGGCATGTCTAAAATTTCAAAAGGTTAAAACGCACTGGAAAAAATATTAACAATAAATCAAAAGTAGCACAAAGTTAAGCCAAGCTTAAATCAGTTTGATGCCAGAATAACTTCATATCTAAATTTATTTTACAAGCCTACCAAATTGTTAACCCGTCTATATTATATAGCTGGATTTTAGCCAGGATTGAAGGCACTTTGATTTGCTTTGAAATTTCTTTATTTATTTTTATATTTTAACTAGAGCCTTCAATCGTGTTATATAAAATGGTGTTATAGCGAATATAATAAGGAAAATTTACGCCAAATTAACCCCTCAAGGAATCGACTGTATACATGTGACGGTTATTCGAAATTAATTTGAATCCTACACATCTTAGGAGTATTTAAATGTTATTGCTATTGATATGGTTACTATTCAAATAAGTCTTCTGGATCAGCATGAACAGTCGGTATTTATCCGTCGGTATGTAACTAGGCAAACCCTAAAGCTTAAAGCTAAAGCCATCCTTGTTGGTTTTTAAAATATAACCAAACTTGCACTTTTTTTAACTTGTAAAGTAAAGTAAAGTAAGGATCTTTTCTTGCTTGAAATATTTGTACAATTCATCAGACTTCTACATACACCTCTCCAAGTACCATATAACTGACAGAGGACTTATTGATATTTTGTATCTATAAACAAGCAATACGCTTAGGAAATATTAAATCACCAAACATATTTAATGCCGGCTCAAAAATAAATGTTCTCTGCACCCGATAATGAACCTTACCGTGTAACGTATAGGCTTAATATCATAGTTATTGGTATAATTTCACCCTTCAGTTTGCAATTTACCTGCAGCTAGCAGCTGTTTTAAGTCAAGCAAAAATGTTCATATCACGCTCGTGTTTCATTTCATTTCAGGTTTGCGTACAAAACGTTTGTTAAACAAAAGAAAAATTCAATAATCCTACTTAGATTTATCAGCTGCAACTGAGCTGCTATATTTCGTATTTAATTTCAGGTCTGTTTTTTAACACAAAATAAAAAAAAAAAACAAAACATTTAATGGGCTGCTACACTCACGGCCCTGAACTTGCACGAATGACACCAAAAAGGTAACCAAAAAGCGAACTTCAAGACTTCGAGACACGTCTTTAAGAGAGGCATACAACACGGGCGTACAAGCCAACTATTTAACGGCTAAACTAACCATGGTTACCATGCGTATTCATGAGTACATTCATTCATATATATCTTTTATTTCGTGTATTTCATTTTATTCACGTTTGTGCCCCTTTTGTGCCACATTTTCGTCAACAAAAGAGCACAAGATAAGTGTGTGCACAACTCATTTGTGTATACGTACATGCATACTATATGGTATATGGCGTATGTATACGATAGGTAGGTACACAATATAGGTTTATAGCTCTTGCATTTGTACTACATTGAACCTCGGCAGTTGCCTTCGTTTGAAGTTGAAAACTTGAATCCAGGCGACAGACAAAATTTAAGTATGTATATGAAAACTTGTTGACCTTTACATCAAAAGCCATCTGTGTAAATAATCATTTTATGTGAATGCAGTCGAACAGTCAACCAAATGCTAAAGATAAAGCCGGATAATGTTATTTGGCTGTTCCAGGGCGCCACTTAAAGATAAGATAGCTAGATAAGGCCTAGTATACTGATTACAATCAGATAATTATAATTATAATCATCTTCATTTATTCAATTATGTATCTTAAGACTCTTTAGCTTCTCTAGCTTGTCACCAGCCTTTAACTACATTTATTTAGTTTCGATTTAAATTCATATTGTAGAAAGTGAAATCAAACGAGTTCAGTAGCATCTCATATACAAATATAAAAAAATAAAAGAGAAGAAACTATTAAAAATATATATATATATATACATATATAATCCGAAATTTGCCGCAGAACAGATCTGCCCTTGCGTACGATATGATATGAATTCTGACAAAATTGTTGTTAATATTCTTGAGCTTTATTTGACACTTGCACGCTAATAAATCAATTGGCAAAACTTGATTGCTTGCATTGTTAAGAGTGTTAATTAGCTAATTAGAATTGTAAATGTCTATAATCAAAGAATTTTACTTTTGTTTGGGGAATGCGAGCTCTACAATAATGATATGAGTTCGTCCTTGCTAACAATTAACTTATGAATCTTTCAGATCTTATTTGGCGACACTTGATATTTGACTCAATTTGGTTTTAGTTGCTTTCTCTTTAAAGTGCTCTGGCTTATTCTTAAAGACAATTTTTAAATTACTCAAATTGTTATTTGTATAAAAGGCGTAGTTTTTTGTTAGAATTATTTTTTAATCGGTTACGTTTCAGTGAAGCTTTTAATGCGCTGAGAATAAGGATAAAGTTAATGTTTATGTCAAAATGCATCAGTTTTAAACTTTAACTTAATTAAAATCACGCAGAACCTTGAAAGCATTTGTTATAAAGCATTTAGCCTAACTCTAGTGCATTCTTTTAATAAGAAGCAAGCAGTTTTCTCTATAATTGAGTTAACTATCAAAAACTAAAGCTGCGCACAGAAAAGTTCTTTCTAAAAACGATTCTAACATAAGCACAATTGCAAATATCTTTAGTATATCCGCTTTCAATACTTATCGCATAAATCTAAATATCAGACTCTCAACAATGTTATGTAAATAAAATTAAAGGGTGTTCTGGCAGCACTGACCTTTGGTTTCTTTTAAATAAATTTACAATTTTTTGAATATTGCTTAATTCAATTATAATATTCTCCAGCACAATATTTCAATAAAATTGTAAGCCTACCTTCAGTTTAGTAATGAATGTATAAATTGCATCTCAGTGTATCCGAGTGTTATGAGTGTTGATTATTTGGTTTGGCACTCCTTGAATTTAGAGGAAGTCAGGTTCCACTATATTGCTAGTTTTCTAATTACTCACCTAGTACTCTATAAACTGCTTATGGCAAACGCCTAGCCAAAACAAAATAAATGTCACTCATTAACGATAACTGGAAAACGTGCACAAGTTTTAAGTATTTGCCAATTAATGAGCCAATTAAAATGCGATACTTGCGCGTTTCTTGGGTCGAGTTCATATGGATATGATTTCTATGCTCAGCCAGAAAAATATTTGAGCTTGTCAATTAAATTTGCATATGTGGGTGGAGATGATTGCATAAGGCTCAAATACCACCAAGCACTTAAATTCTATTTGCCTTTGCTCAATGATCATTATTGTTTGTACGAGCGATCTGCCGAATTTGGCAACAGCATTTGGTCATAATAAGACGAAAATAAAAAAAAATAGCGTAAACCCAACATTGAGTATTCCACTCACGATGCCAAAAAGAATGAAGCCAACGCAATTTGAAATGGGCTAAGCTCGTTGTAACAATAATGATGGCTTAGAGCTGCGCGAATTTGTTGCTATTTTTGTACTATTATTATTATTATTATTGTTGTTATTTCAACTTTTTTGTTAACGAGTTTGTAGCGCGTTTTGCGTGTTTTTATACGCGTGGCTTGGCGGCATAAATGGCGGCTTGGGCACTGTAGTAATTTCTTTTTGGGTCAACAACTTTGCATAACGGTGCCTGCCTCTGGACATTATTGTATTTGGCTTATTGCATTTTCAACTTGTATTGCAGCACTAGCAACAACAACAACAACAACATTCATATTCACACGCAAAGCAAAGAACCAATCTATGCCAGTAACCATCCCCAACAGCAAGTACTAACCGCAAACTGGGAACTCGCCAGATCAACCGAACAAATCACGACTTGTTGACGCGACGCGCGTTCCAAAACTGATCGCAACTTGTTTGGGCCAACGACGATGCGGGCAAATGCTGCGACGCGTCGCACCGTGGTGAAAAAACCTATTGCTTGTGGGTAAATGATCTATGCAAGCGTGAAGTTATACTACAGTGTATAAGTTTAATTCTCTTTTTATATTATAACAATATTTCAATGTTCTATATTTTATTATTTTAGTTTTTTAAAATTTATAAATGTTTTTCTTATTAGTTTTGGTATAATTTATTTACTATATTGCCCACTTGAATATGTAAAACAGCCCTGTCTAAGGCAACAAATTATGTCTTTGCTTTTTTGGTTTTTTGGCAAGGTTTCGAAAATATTCGATATTAAGTCCATCTAAATTATTTTGAGTTAAACTTAAACTTCGCTCTCAAATTTGAAAATAAATCATTAATTTTATTTGCATTTGAACAGATTCGCAATTCGACATACATCAGCCCACTGTCAATCTGAACTAAATATCGTATATCGTATGTCGTAAGACCGTAAAATGCTGCTGCTGCTGCTGTGGCGCCGACTGATCACAGGTGAGTATCGTGCTTTTGTTGAGCCTCGCATACACGACAACTAAATCAGATACCTTAATATTAATAAAGTTTTTCGGATATTAATTACATAACAATATATACACATTGCGAACATTTAATTGGTAGCTTAGTTCAGATTATTTATTTTTGCATTAAACAATTGCAAATTTTACAACTCCAGCGCATACTAAATTGGAGCGACTACTGTTCCCATAAATTAGTCATTTAATTGTTACAGACCTAAACGGATTAAATTCATCAATTTAAGCCATTTGAGTAAATTGTATAAATGCACATATTATATGGCGTGCCTTTAAAACTATTCTTTGTCATTTTTGGTTGAACATCACCCATTTCGCTGAGTGTACTTGTCTCATTTCTGCAGAACGCTTAAAGCTGACGACTCTTTTTGACTCTGTTCCCCACCAACGCTGCGCGTTCCAAGATTTTGGGTTTCCTAAGGAGAGAAACATACCTAATTAGTCGTTTATCTCTGCTTCGCGTTTTGGCAATCGGCGTCAACAGAATAAAAGCAATTCGAGCTGCAAACACTTTACGCCGAACCCCTTTCTAACTAACTTTGTACAGTTTTTGTTTCTTTTCATTTTCTTTTACTACATTTATTCTCTTCTTTTGCAATCGTTGTAGAGAACTCGTTTATATATGTACATATGTACATATGCTTGTATGTTTGGTATAAGACGACGGCTTTATTGCTCAGGGAAATGATTTGCCAATGATTTGAAGAACTTCGTCATTTTGCGTGATGACGCATTTTGAGGAGGGGGTACAACATTGAGCAAAAGTACTGCTAAGGGGCTTGCTGAAATGTGTGCCGTATATAATCAAAACACAATGCTTATCCGTTTCTTGATATTGACTTCAATTCCATAGAAAAATACCTGATCACAAATCAACAAAATTTGGCCATATAGCGTGTAAAAGAATATGAAACCATCGAGAGAGTGGGAATGGGAAAAATAATGTCCAAGGAAAGTACGAAAGATGTGTGTATGTGAAGGTTTTTATATACATATGTACATACATGTGTGCAATGAGTCGCTAGTTACCTTAATGCATATGTATGTATGTCATTGCCCTCTGTACCCTCACTCTTGCGCAGGGAATACTTAGTTTCTAACCAAGTCTGTCTAATTTACCTATATCTATGTATGTATATACATATGTACATATCTATGTAACTGAACTTGTATTAAAACGAGCTTTTTTAACACTATAAAATTAGATCTCCCTTGAATTGTATAATTTGCATTGTCAAACTGTGTAAGATTTATTATTTAAAGCTTTTGTTAAATACATTTTTTAATTGATTGAAAGATATGTCTAATTATTATTATTTATACAATTTTTTTAAAATATATGTGTTAATGATGTTTCTATGCTTTCAATAATTTATGTATTATAGTTTATTTATTTAATTTATTTCTTTGATGAATAAGTTAACTTTTGAAATTATTTTCATAATTTTATTGTATGTTCAATTTACATGGTTTATATCTTTTAAAAATTTATTTTCTATTCATTTTAATATATATATATATTTGTTAATATTAATTTATTATTTACATTTTATCAATTAAGGAATAAATTAAGAATTTATTTTGTTTTTATATTTATAGAATTTATTATTATATAAAAAATGGATTAATTATATTTTTAGCAATTTTCATGATTTATTGTTGTTAAGATTGCGTGTTATCATTTCTTAAATTATTAAGTTCTTTATTTTTTATAGAAACTTTTTTATATTTAAAATTTAAAACCTCGTATTCATCAATGCAATCCAGTAAAATATATGTAAATACTTGCCCACAGCCAGTCTTTTTTTCGATCTAATTTCCTTATTGAACCAATCGGTGTTTATCAATTGATTATCACCTTGTTCATAATCGATATTATAAATACATTGCATTTACAAATTCCATCATAAACACCTTTTTATTTATTTAAACACTTTTTAAAGAATACCATCGGTACCCTTTCCCTTAAGCATATTTTGTATAAACTACAATTTTGCTGCACATAATACCATTTTGAATTTGATTTGCTCAGATTTTGGCAGCGTTATGTTATTTTTTTCAACAAATTCTTTTTACTATGGATTCTATAGTAACAGGCTTTATTCAATTGCTTACAAAATTAAAATATTGCCAAAGCAATTGGATGTTGCTTTGGCATAAAGGAACCAGAAAAAACTTAGTCTAGCCGCATAGCCGGTACTTACTAAATAACAATAATTTAGTCTGTACAGCTACGAATTGATATAAATAAATGCTACTGTGTGTGTGCGTGTGTGTGTGTGTGTGTGTATGTTGTGTTGTGTGTTATGAGTATGTAACTAAATAGAAATTACAACAAAATGCGGGCGGTACTACTTATAACTATGTGAGTGCAGTTTTGTGATGGTGTAATAGTCAGTGCTAAAGACAGGGGCTAATCTCATATGAGGCCCACTGCATGGGGTGTCCAGACAATGCTGAAGGCCCTATTGAAGACCTGCTTCATTTTATGGACGCCAAAGAGCAGCAGCCAATAGCAGATGATCATCAGAAAAATGCCAACAAAAGTCACCAGACAACGCATGGGATTATGCCAGTCCAGTATGGGATAAACATAGGGATTGCCGAATCTGTGTGAAATATAATAAGCAGACAATTAATAAATCAATCTTTAGAACTCTTTAGAAGTGCGGGCTACTTACTCGTCGGTGCCACCACAAATGTGATAGATGAGGGTAAATAAGAAGAATGCTATGGCCATGCACATGGTCTGCACCATATGCAGCAATCGCAATGGAAATGCCACGATTAAGAAATCGATCAGCATACATATGCTATTCAAGGCATGCGTTATCACGCTGATCGCCGGAAAACGTGTTGGCTTGTCTACGCATATACATAGAATAGAATTTAGCATATTTTGTTAGTCTCCTGTTGTCAGTTGCACTTACTCATGCGTCCATTTAGAAATATCCAGTATACTGTGGAGATGACCAGTGCCATTAGCAGTGACATATTGTGCAGCCACCAATAGATCTTCAGGCCGGACGTTGTGCTGGCCTTCTGGCCCGCTTCCTGTACCAGACTCCGCACATTCTGCAGATCGAAGTGCCAGCGTGTGACATGCACGGCGGCGAGCAGCATGGTGATCGTGATCAGACCAAAGCCCCAGTTGGTCATGTAGATAAAAAATTTGCCATCGCAGAATTGCATAATGATGCAAGTGATGTAAACGCCCAGAAACAGTAACGCCCATATCCAACGATACAGCAAGTAAATTGTGCTGACTTCATTCTTTTGCCACTGATTAAAAGACAGAATGAGAGAGAGAGAGGGGCTTAATAAGCTATATATGTCGAAAGTCAAATTCTTTGCAAGATCAATTTAATCTTTGATATCATCAAAGTTCTATATTCTATATTCTATTCTATATTTTATATTATTTATGTTATATAATATTTAATTATATGATTCACTAAATTAGTTAGCAACAGAAATATATGTGTTAGCTCGA